GAGATCGGTGACACGTGAACTTAAATATATATTCACAATGCTAACCAACAGTGGTTTATTGTATTGGAGGTGAATTGGCCGAAACTTACTTGTAATAAAACATGCTCAAATTCTGAAGTTGCCATTTTAAAGAAAGCTTTTTTTTATCTTAATTATTATTTTTCCTTTAGTTGTAGTATTTTGCTCACTCTATTTAAAATTTCATTTCATATATTTCAAAGAAATGAATTAAGAATCAACGGATACATGATCCTTTTATTTCCATAAGCAATTTCAAGTTCAAATTTAAATATGTATTTGTCTTTTATCTAGATAACAGAGATGTCTACTAGTCCAAGACTAGTGAATTTTTATATTGAAAAAATTAAATTAGATTAATCAATCTAATTATTAAAAAAATTTAATATCTATATATATGTGTGTGGAAAAAACATTTCTCCTATCATAGGAGATAAAGTTATCTCCTACAGCCTCAAAATGAAATCATTTTGGGGTTAAAGATTAAAAATAAAGAGTATTTTAGAAATTTTACATTCCACTTTGAATTATGAATTTTACTAAAATATTATTTATTTTTATTTTTTAATCTCAAAACAACGTTGTTTTAGAATTATAAAGATTATTTTATCTTTTGTGATAGGATATATATATATATATATATATATATATATATATATATATATATATATATATATATATATATATAAGCTTTAATGTTTCTAAAGTGAATGTAGATAAGTTATCTACATTCGCTCCCAAAACGACGTCGTTTTGGATTGAAAAATAAAAAAATTATAATGAAAAGACTATTATAACCTTGAAATAAATTATAATTACAAAAGTACCTTGGTTTTCACCTCAAAACGACGTCATTTTGGGCTCAATGTAGATAAGTTATCTACGTTGACTGTAGAAAAAGCGAACCCATATATATATATGTATATATATATGTAAAATTATTTCTGCAGCTGCTTTACGAAAGACAGGTGTATGATTATGATTCCCCACATTTAATGCTTTCATCTTTTGTATGGTTATGATTCTCTGTATTTAATGCTTTCAAGTTTATATATGGCAAGTATTTGATTGCTGCACGTACACCAGCTGTAGAAATGTAAATCCTATATATATATGGCAAAATTATTCGTAATGTGACTACATATAAGCATTGGTGCAGTCACCTACGTCGTTTTGGTTGGGATAAAGGAAGTTCGTGTTCAAAATTAGTTGTAAAAAATAGAAATATTATATTTATTTCCACCTTTGTATGGTTATGATTTCTCATATTTAATACTTTATATTTATTTCCGTCTTTGTATGGTTATGATTCCTCATATTTAATGCTTTCACACTATAAAACTACGTAATTTTATATGACTGCACCAATCCTTAGGTGCAGTCACTTTACAGTTTACATCCGCTAAACCCTATATATATATATGGAGAATGTTATATTTATAAACTTTTTGTAAATATGACTGGTCATACTTTAATCAAGAGTGTATGACCGGTCATACTTAGTGTAATTTATAAAAAAAAAAATTGTAGACGGATTCTTCCTTATATATATATATATATATATATATATATATATATATATACACACACATATATATATGGGGTAAAGTCTTTTTATACCAATTTCAAATTTAAAGTTTGACACCTCATTTGAGAGTCATTAGATCAATATATATATATATGGGGGTAAAGTCTTTTGATACCAGTGTCAAATTTAAAGTTTGACCCCTCATTTGAAAGTCATTAGATCAAAAAAATTAACAATTCTGATTTGTAAACATATGACACCGTTGATTTTTTTTCATCTAACGACTATCAGATATGATGTGTCAAATTTTAAATTCAACACCAATATTAAAGAATTCTACTCCATATATATAAAGATCCAGTATATATATATATATATATATATATATATATATATATATATATAGATATATATATATATATCCTTACTCGTCTTTAGTAAAACTTTTCATTTTGGGCAAACTAAAGTAAAAGAAATAAATAAAAAAACGTCGAAGCCTTTCACTGGAATCTTTTGGGAGAATGTGGAAATGGCATTTATTAAGGATCCATCTTTCAACAGGTTGTCGATCCTAAAAAACCTAGGGAAGTACCATGTTTGAGCTAAGACTCACTGGTGCGCAAAATATTTGGTTTATTAAATGAGTTGGGGTAAAAAATGAATATGCTTGTATACGTTTAGCTCACTTTATCTTAGGGGGCGTTTGTTGGTGGGAATTAGAGGAATAAGTTAAGAAAATGAATTTCTCACAAATGTTATCAAAATGGAATATTACCTCAAGTTTTCTGATTTTATTTTTGGTTAATTGTTAATGATTCTTAAGAATGTGGATTGATATCACAAAATTAATCATTAATTATTTTATCTTTTTAAATTTCTGATATACCACAAAGGGTCAAAATGTGACATTGAAAATCAAACCCATTAAGGCACTGTGAAAGAGATGAGAGGAACTCATGCTTTTGTGAAGTAGAGTATCACGACCATGACCTTAATAAGAGAGAGTATTATAGTTATGAAAATATTAAAATAGAATTATTTATATTTTGTAAATTATGTAAAACTTTCCTAATAGTTGAAAATCTAAGAATATTACCCATTTTGGTGGTATTATTTCATGAAATTCTTATTCACAATTTTAATTTCTAAAAATCTAATTTTTTTTGAAAAATTGTAAAAATCCTTACATTAAACGTGAATACTTATGATTTCGAAATATGAATTAATTGGGAATGTAAAATTTATCTAATGTACGAGCCGAAACGGATTATTCGAGTACAGCGTAGTGTATAAATACTATTTCAAAATAGTAGGCTTAAACGGTCTTAAATAGGCCTGAATGGCCCGTTTAATCAATTGACTTTACAGATGGGGCCAAAAGTGAATAATTTTTTTTTTTGGGTAACATGAAAGTGAATAATTACAAATAGAACATGTCAAATCAAGCTTACTCAGTATGATTTGTACGTGTCGATAAATACAGTGGCTGATGATTTTAAGTTTTTAACATCTGTGCAAACTATAAATAAAGAAAGTGTATGTGATTTTAAAGAATATAAATTTAGATTTTTTTTTAAAGATGATAGATATAAAGAGATATGAATTTTATTGAAAAAAATAAAAATTTCCAATTTTTTGTATTTATTTATCTCTTAAAAGGATTTAAATTTATGTCCTTTAAATGATACATATTTTTTCATAAATAAATTCATGATTAATTGTAAAATTTAATTAACAAAAATAAGTCTTAGTAATATCAGTTAGTACAAGATGATCATGGGTTATCTATCATTTATAAAGAAAATGACGCAAGTGAATGAGAATGATAAGTATAATTTATTTTAAAAATATATATCTCAACAAACTTTGAAATAGTGACGTAATTTTCAAAATGATTAGGTAATAATCACATTACCTAATCAGAGAAATTCTCGTGTAGGCTTTTACTTGTTTTAAATAAAGAGAAATTCTCAAATACTTACCAAATAAGAAAAAGATTTTATTCTGTGTTAATTAATATGTATCGGTTCAAGCATAACATAAAAGGTTTTGACTCTGTACCAGAACAAAAAAAAATGTTAAAATAGAAGATAATAATCATTCATATAACTGAGACAATATACATTAAATAATACAAAAATAGCTAAGAATCTCTCATTTAAATAAAATAGTATATGGATTCCGTAAAAGAATAGTAACTTGTCATAAAATTTAAAATTAATTTATATAAAAAATAACTATAGTAATTAAGAGGAAAAGGAAAAAGACAATTGATACTGTCAAAATCCGCCCAAATAGGAAAAACAATGGATACTACAGAATAGTACATATAAACATAAAAAGAATATATATAATTATATATTACAAAAAAAAAGGTGGGAAATGCTTTGGTTGGTTAGAGGTTTTGACCTTTAGAAAAAGGAAACTAGGTTCCAGAATTAACTGTATATAGTAAAATTATCATTCAATTTAATTTGATGATTTTGACAGATCAGCTGTGGAATGAATTCAGAATCAGAATTATTATTATGTTGCCCAGAAAAGCTTTAAAATGTGATTCTTCCTTAATCCTTGTTTACCAGTAAGGTATAATTATTGAAGAGAGAGTAAGTTCATGACTTCATGGATGACATTTCGAGGATATCACTAGTTTGATCTGTCTCTCGCTGGAACTCTTTTTGTCTTTATACCAACAACGGATTCCATCCATCCAATCACCCAACGCCAATCATCCACTTCGTCCTATATCATTACATTTACTGTTTTCCTTTTTTTTTTTCTTTTCTTTTAGGACAAAAAAATCTTAACTCTTTTATTATTATTATTAGGGTTATTTTTTCTGCGGTTACTGCAGATAAGTTATCTGCAGTAAGCTCAATACGACGTCGTTTTGAGACGAAAATCATGGTGTTTTGTAATTTTAATTTATTTCAAGGTTATAATAGTCTTTATATTTATAATTTTTTCAGATTTCAATAACAAAACGACGTCATTTTGAAAGTAAATGCAGATAACTCATTTGCATTAACAGCAGAAACATTTTTCCCTTATTATTATTAGGAAAGAGTTATGTTTACAAAATTTTTATTTACAAAATATACTATGTATTCGGGTAATACATTTCTAAGTGAGTGAGCAAATGTACTCCCAGGAGAGTACATAATATATTTTGTAAAAATTTGTAAATATAATATATTTCTTATTGTTATTATTATTATTAAAAAAAGGAGAGAAAAATGTTATAAAATAAGAAAAAAGTAGAATCCAACAAGAGAATAGTACAAAAGCAATGAGTTGTTGAAAATGAATTTTATGATGACGCCCCCTGACGTGATTCTCTCTGCACTACATAGGTGAGGTGAGGACTGAGGAGTTGGTGCCTCTTCCAAACAACCCCTTTTTTCTTTGTATCTCTGTGTGCGGTTACTTATACTGAGTGAGTGAGTGAGTGAGTGAGTGAGTGAGTGGTGATTCTATATAGCTCTAAGACAATAATAGCGATCTGTTTTGTTTTTTTTGGTAAATAACTGAGTGGTAAGTTTGAGTTACTTTCACCAACTGAATTGAATAATAGATAGTCCATCAATCTCAACCTCTCAACTACCAGTAGCAGAGGATTCTCACTGTTAGTTGGATAAAAGAGAAAGCCGTTTTTCTTGCTCACTCACTCTGTTGTTTCTCTGTGTCATGATTCTCTTTGTTTTGGTATCTTTGAGCGCAGCTTCATAATAATTCATTAGAAATGAAAGGTGGTGTCGTTCTAGTGGCTATTGCGGCTTCCATCGGTAATTTTCTACAAGGATGGGATAACGCTACTATTGCTGGTACTCACCTCTTTTCTTTTCTGCATATTCTGTTATTGTTTCTTTTCCCTTTTTTCTCTTCAAATGTTCATACGTTGTTGAGGCACAACCTCATTAAGAGATGACCCCCTTTTTGTTTAACTACAAAATTATAATGCCTCACACCAACCCATGATAATGGATCCTTCAGCTTTTCGTCCTCAAAAGTTGTCATGGTCATGGCCTGCCAGCCACTATATGATCTAGTCTGAAAAGAAAAGAAAAGAAAAGAAATCAGATATAGATCATTTAGCCTTGGTCCATAAGATTAAACCGGTTTAATTAGTTAGTATTCTATCATTGGAATCTGATCTAGCATGATATGGCATCTACCCTCTTTGTTTAATTTAGTAAGCAATTTGTTCCTAGTATTGTAAACCACTTTTATGACAAATTAGTTGTTTAGTTTTGAGCTTTATGATCAATTGCTTATCAGATCACTCATTCTTCCTGTTTGTTTGCAGGTGCTATTGTTTACATTAAGAAAGACCTTGCTTTGGGAACAGAAATGGAAGGACTTGTGGTGGCCATGTCCCTCATTGGAGCAACTGTAATCACAACATGCTCTGGTCCCATATCAGATTGGCTTGGTCGGCGACCAATGTTGATAATCTCATCAGTGCTTTATTTCTTGGGTGGTTTGGTCATGTTGTGGTCTCCTAATGTATATGTGTTATGCATAGGAAGGCTTCTTGATGGATTTGGGATTGGCCTTGCTGTTACTCTTGTCCCAGTCTATATATCTGAGACAGCCCCATCTGATATAAGGGGATCGTTGAATACACTTCCGCAGTTCAGTGGTTCTGGAGGCATGTTTTTATCATATTGTATGGTTTTTGGGATGTCATTGACTACCTCTCCTAGCTGGAAACTAATGCTTGGGATTCTCTCTATTCCTTCTCTCATCTATTTTGTATTAACAATATTTGTCTTGCCCGAGTCTCCTCGGTGGCTGGTGAGTAAAGGAAAGATGCTCCAGGCAAAAAAGGTTCTCCAAAGATTACGCGGCATGGAAGATGTGTCAGGTAATGTTACTATACCTAAAGCATCTTTCATCTATTCTTGAACAAGGACACTATCTGCTTATGTAATGTAGGATTCCTGTTTAGTTTATTTCAGACAAATGTTTAATTGTTGCACGAAATCACTAGTTATGATTCATCATGAGTTTAATCCTTTGTGATCTGATGTTGTATGTACTCAGTTGACATTTTGATTAAACTAGAGCATTTTTTGGGGACCTAAATGGCTGACACTTAATTATATATCTCCATCCTGCCACCCTCAGTTTGCAGCTCACTATAATCCTAGCTCTTTCAAAATTTTCACTCAAGACAGATTTACAAACATGGGAATCTGGGATAGGGTTTCTCTCCTCCAGAGAACATGTGCTAACTGCGTTTTTTATTATTAACAATGTGAAAAATGGAAGGTATCTCACACATTTTTATAATGCCAAGCAATGATTGTAAAAAGTCAACGCATCTGCAAGAGATAGTGAGGACTTGTTTACATATTTCCTGTATTATATCTGCTGTGCTTTTGATACCAAACTAGTTACTTGCTTATTATGAATATATATTGTAAAGTTGACGACTTTCGTTTTCCTGAAGCTCTGGATTTGTAATAGGGTTTAAATGGATGTTCCCCTTTGAGGATTCTGCCTTTTTGTTTTTTGTTATGTAAACAACGTTATAGGCAACACAACATGGCTGCTTTTACAGAAGCTATAAATTTTCACTTAAGAGAAAAAAAAAAAAAAAAAAAAACCCTCCCCTTCTATGTGCAGAATTCATAATGTACATGATAATGACCCGGTATGCTAAGGCAATCCATGCAAATACACTAGGTTGTACATGATTTTCAATTTTGAACTTTTTCATTGCATAAATTAGTTTGCAACTCTCACCCAATACTGTAATTTTTATATGCTATTACTATTATCAATTGTACCAATAGTTTATAGCTGGATACATTGTTGGTCACTTGGTATTATATTTCAGCTTGCTACCATCATGATCTCAGGAGATATTGATTGATGATTTGAAATCTTTGATATTGGTAGGGAACTTAAATTATCATAGGTAGGCAGCTTTCTATTGGGGACAAAAATGTTTCCATTGAGTTTTAATATTACGAAATTGAAATTTTCATTTCTTGATGGTTAGATATTAAAATAAGTGTGAACTGAAAATGTTGCTTTATATAAAATACGACATGTTAAATTATTATGTGCTGTAATTGCTTAATTATCTATAGTCTCGTGTGATTTGGATGTATATGCAATTCATTTCCTCACGTATTCTCTTAACTTGTTTTTTTGTTATGATACATCATTTTATGAATTTATAAATTCATACAGGCGAGATGGCATTGCTGGTTGAAGGTCTTGGTATTGGAGGTGATACATCTATAGAAGAGTACGTAATAGGCCCTGCTGATGATGAGGTAGCTGATGGTCATGAACAAACAACAGAGAAAGATAAAATCAGATTATATGGATCCCAAGCAGGCCTCTCATGGTTAGCAAAACCTGTCACTGGACAGAGTTCTATAGGCCTTGTGTCACGTCATGGAAGCATTGTCAACCAAAGCATGCCCCTCATGGATCCTCTTGTGACCCTCTTTGGTAGCGTTCATGAGAAGCTCCCTGATACAGGAAGCATGCGAAGCACTCTATTTCCAAATTTTGGAAGTATGTTCAGCACAGCTGAGCCTCATGTTAAAAATGAACAGTGGGATGAAGAGAGCCTACAAAGAGAAGGTGAGGACTACACATCAGATGCTGGTGGTGGAGACTCTGATGACAATTTGCATAGTCCTTTAATCTCGCGTCAAACAACAAGCCTTGAAAAGGATATGCCTCCTCCTTCCCATGGCAGTATCCTTAGCAGCATGAGGCGTCACAGTAGTCTCATGCAAGGGTCAGGCGAGCAAGTTAGTAGTACAGGCGTTGGTGGTGGCTGGCAGCTGGCATGGAAATGGTCTGATAAAGGTGAGGAAGGAAAAAAGGAAGGAGGGTTTAAAAGGATTTATTTGCATGAAGGAGTTCAAGGATCTCGACGTGGATCCCTTGTATCAATCCCTGGTGAAGGTGAATTTGTCCAGGCTGCTGCCTTGGTAAGCCAACCTGCTCTTTACTCTAAGGATCTTATTAATGAACAACCAGTTGGGCCTGCAATGGTTCACCCATCTGAGACTGCTTCAAAGGGACCAATTTGGAAAGCTCTTCTTGAACCTGGGGTTAAGCATGCATTGTTTGTTGGGATTGGAATACAAATACTTCAGCAGGTAATGTGTGGTTACTTTACTATTCATAATTATCTTCTCTATTGGTCTTGTTACTATTCATAATGGCTGTTACCATTCATCATTTTGACCATGCTTACTTTCACTTTCTGTTGTTTTTCTTTTCCTTTCTTTCCTTTCTGTGGGCGTGGGGAGGAGTGTGTTAGGAAGCAGAGAATTTTGATAGCAGTGGTTCTACCTAATCACTCGCAAACCTTAAATAGGCCTTCTGCGGTGAAGTATGCTTATGTTGTTACGTAGTGTTTATTATTCTAGCCCTTGAATGTTAAACCACTGATCTTGTAGTACTGCTTGCCATTGGCCAAGTAATTTACAAAGAACATATAAAGAGAGTTTTAATAATGATACTCATATTGAAAATTTCAGGTTGTAAAATATTAGCTGAAATAATCAGATCAGCATACTTAACCTGACTGGAGAGTAAGATGAGCGTTTTGGAATTCTTCGTTGATCTTTTCTTTTCTTTATTTAAGTTTGTATAACCTTACTCTTCCTAGCTGAATTTTCAGTTTGCTTTTCCAGTTTACTGCATCAATTTATTGGTTTACGTCTTCTTATCAATAACTAGCATCTAATTCTACATGTATGTGCAGTTTTCAGGGATAAATGGGGTTCTATATTACACACCTCAAATCCTTGAAGAGGCTGGTGTTGGAGTTCTTCTTTCAGATATAGGCATTGGCTCAGAGTCTGCATCATTCCTTATCAGTGCTTTCACAACCTTATTGATGCTTCCCTGTATAGGCTTAGCCATGAGGCTCATGGATGTCGCAGGCAGAAGGTATGCTCTTTTTCTTTTCTTTTTTTTTTCACCTGGTCTGTAGTTTTGTTGCTCGTTTTGAGGATCTCATCTCTTGCAAACATTTTGTAAAAGCTATTATACATATCTCCCTCGATTGATACCTCGTTCATTTAATTAGACATCGGTTTAGTGGATGGGGGAAAATATTCAAGTGTAATGTAGTTCCACATTGATTGGTAATGAGTTAAGTGAAATCCATACAAGTGGAAAGACCCATGGACCTAACGCCTTAAGGTTTTGGGTTGAGACATGATGTCAGACTTAGTTACTGTAGCCTTGACACACATGATAGTCCCTCACCATGGCTCCCCCTGACCCACCATTGAACCAACTTTTGTAACCTTTATGTGTTTCTAGTGTATTCTTTTTTACTTTTTATTTTCCTCTTGTACAACATAAGTAAAGCTGAAGTTTAACTAAAAAGGGAAGAGAACTTCCGTAGAATTTAGTATGTTCTGAATATTTAATACTCTGGATCTCACAGAAATTTAACCTTAAAAATTGTTTCCTTTGGTTACTTCAAAGATTAGTCAAGAAGTAAGAACACTATTGTTATCCAGACATTTGCATTCTGAAGAGTTTCTACTCAAACTAAGTTGTAAATGTTTCTTTTTGTTTTCTCCTTGAAAAAGCTACGGTTTTATTAGTATTTTCTTTTATTCATCTTGATTTGATGTCAATAATAAACTCCTTGAACTGCAGGCAGTTGCTACTTGTAACAATTCCGGTGCTGATAGTGTCACTGATTATTTTGGTCATTGGAAACATAGTAGATTTTGGCACTGTTGTCCATGCAGCAATCTCAACTATATGCGTCGTGGTTTATTTCTGCTGCTTTGTGTCAGCTTATGGACCAATTCCAAACATCCTGTGTTCAGAGATTTTTCCAACGAGGGTGCGTGGACTCTGCATTGCTATCTGTTCGTTAGTGTTCTGGATTGGAGACATCATTGTGACATACACGCTGCCTGTAATGCTCAGTTCTTTTGGACTCGCTGGTGTCTTCGGCGTTTATGCGGTTGTGTGTTTCATCTCGTGGATATTTGTGTTTTTGAAGGTTCCAGAGACAAAGGGCATGCCCCTTGAAGTCATCACTGAATTCTTTTCTGTTGGTGCAAGGCAGGCTACTTCTGCCAAGAATGAATGACTGAAATCTTTATATACATATGTCGTTTTGGTTTCTAAAGCCACCATCTCTAATCTTTATAGATTTTGCTTGTCATAAGTTTATTTGGAGCAGGATTTCTTCTGGTTCAAACATATGCTTGTATTATTCTTTAATATAAAATTTTGCATTTTAGAGTGGAAATAGCTTTCAGGATTATCGACTGAAAGTGCATGATAAAGCCTTTGATGCCAAGTTTGCCTTTTTCAATAATGAGCATTTAGAGTTTGCCTTGTTATAGGCGTGATTAAGATAGGTGCAATCTGCAATGTGGTGCAAATTCCAGAAATTAATTCCAGTACCATTCCTCTGCCTTTGACCATGGATTAATTAAACAGCTATCAGTGGTCAGACTCTATTGGCATGATACTCCAAAATTTATTCATTGATTAAGGAGATTTTGGATCAGGTCACCTTTATATTTAATGCGCATTTTTGTCTTAGTGGCCGGTGTTATTTAATAATAGTGGCACCGGCCAACGACACTTCCGGCATACTCTTTTCTTTTTTTCAATTTAGAGGGGACTATTTTTTTCTATTTAGAGGGGACTACTTCCCTCTAACAGCAACCTTTAGCTTTTACCAGATTTGGTTTCATTATTTTGACATCACCGATTTTACAACAAATCTTGATGGTTTCCACTAATGCTAATTCCGTGTCAACAAAAGAGCAAGTGCAACTTTATTTCCACCTATCCTAATTTATCACAGCTTCCCAACTTTTAGGGTCCTCTCATGCTTAATTTATTATTCTTATTGTTACCAACTGTAAAGGTTTTGAACTTTAAGAAAGTTAAAATGGGTAGGCAAGTTAGGCGTCAACGATGAACTTCTATAGTTCTATTACTTAAAATGGGCAGGCAAGTTAAAATGGGAATTCCTCTATCTATTAAATGCTAAAAATAAAATCAAAGTTAAGCTGATGTCATTTTATATATATGAATTCTTTCAGATTTAAACACAATTTCTTATTCTTTTTCATTACGGTGTGTTTGCGTCAACATATACAACATCGTAAAAACAGTCGCTTTAAAATTCTTATTCGTATTCCTGGCTAAACTGTTAGCCAGATATAAAGCGATGAGTTGGTTATTAGTTCTTAATTCATTAAATTCATATTATAGATTGATTTTTTTGAATTTAAAGCAACTAAGCATAGCAATTCTATCAAAATATCCAATGATTAATTGGATTTTTTTTATTCAATCTTATTTGTTATAGGTTGCAAAACAGGTAATCTAAATGATTTTTATGGGCAGTCAGATTGCCTTGTGAATAAGTTGGGTTCGGGGCAGGACGAAGTGTATAACTCCCCACAAAAAGACTTTACATAAATGATAAAATCCAAGGAAACAGCATACCTTGACAATAAGCAGAAATGAAATTATATCTACAGTCCTCACCTATACAATTTGACATATTTAGGGCTCCCCAATGGAATAGTACAAAATTTTTGGGCAAATTCAAATATATCATTTTAGCCCGCCTCAGAGCAATTTTAACTTGGAACAATATAGGCAAAAGCTGTGTGCAAACCTAAAGACTCGGATCTTCTTCAGATGATGATGCCCTCTCAAAGTGATTTGGGCCACTATCTAATTTAGGGGAGGGAGAATCACTCACTTGATTGTTTACAGAGCTCTTCTCAGCATGATCATTTAACCTGGCATGGGAGTTGAATGGTCTCTCAAAATCTTTAGCATTGTTAGGATCTATCACTAGTTTATTGGGTTTTTGCTCCTGCAAAATAAATAATACAGAATTTTTAAGTGGTGCACCAAATTAGGCAAAAGAACGTCAACATATGAATTACGAATTTTTTTATAAATAAAGTCAGCCAATTTCATGATATCAAGGATTTGAGTCACACAACCTGATGCGATTCTGTTCTAGGGTACTAGGGAGTTTTCTGAGAGAAATTGGAAAATGATTCCATAGAGGGAAAAGAACAGAAGTCAATGGCATTATTGAAGAAAGGATCTAAAGGTTACAAAAGACACTTCACTTTAGAAGCGAGGATCCCTTCACACTGAGAATTCTCAGTCAACACAAGAAAATGATCGATGCTAAAAAAAAGGAGGGTGAACCCCCTTTTATCCAAACATAAGCCCACAAACCTGACAGACTAACCTCCTTACAACTGACTAACTAACTCTCCTATTGACTATTGTTCGGGTCTCTGCAGCCTCTTGTATACTCTCCAAACTTTGGGTTTTTCCAAATTCCCTATGATTTTTTATTCGTAACACAACCAAAACACCAAAAATAGCCAGGTTAGTTCATGCTGGGAAAGAAACAAAACCTGGTTTGACTATTTGGCTGCATCTGGGAAATTTATGCCTGCCAAAATGTCATTCCGTTGTACTAAATATCCCAAAATCAGAGAGTATCTTTTTTTGTTTACTTATATATTGGATTTATGATGCAGTAAGAGGGTAAGACGAGTAGGATACATTGGTTGAATTGTAGTTGAATTTTGAAAACAAGATCTCTGTGAGTGTCAACTAAAATGCTAAACCCCAAAAACCTTAGGAATTAGGATAAAGACATGACAACATTAGCACAACAAATTATAAATCCATATCAAGCATAGGAGTATTGAATTTCCTTATTTTGATAAGGCTTACATTTTGTAGGGCCTCAAGCTTTTTCTGCAGGGCTTCATGCTCAGCTTGAATACGGAAAGGAACTCCATGCTTTTGATACACATTGTTTTGTGCCAAGTCCTCATCAAGATCAGTAGCAGTAGTTGCAAAGGGATGATTTGCAGGAATCCAACGGATTGTATCTGGATCAACATCCTGAGGAACTAAGTCCCCTTCTTTAAGAAACATGGTTGGCCGCTTCCACTGGTATGCACGCGATCTCCTTTTCTGGTGAATGGCCTGTTGCTCTTGAGTAAGAGTGACGGGGGCTAAGCGATAAACTTTTCCACACATCTCAACAGTTGAGTTGCCTTTGCCAACCTTGACCAAGGGATTATTGAATGGATCTTCATACTTGAGAGGCCTTGATCTGAAAATATGCATACAAAAAAATGTAGATAGACAAATAGGGGGGATCATCATTGTTACTACCTAGTCATACGGCGACAACACTAACCATTGTGACGAGGCTCCCATTCTATAATGCATATTATTATTGTATATGAGTATATCTATATTAGGCAGATAGATAATGGTGAGTGAAAAGGGAAAAACATATGGCATTGAAGGAACAAGCATGAAAGTGGGTATGGATTGAAATCATACATGCCTCTTCTATCCGATTTCAGTTGGCCACGTCTAACGAGATCAGCAACGGAACCAGGGCGACCCTTTTTTTTTCTGGACAGAACCCTCACCGCTGCAACCAAAACAACAACCGCAACACACACCCAAACCGGAAAATTGACTCCACCGTTTCGATTCAACTACAAAACAAAAGGAGTAAAAAAACAAAAACCTTTAAACATTAATAAAAACAAAAAACAAAAACAAATTAGAGTATGAAATGAAACCCTACAAGCATGGGCATGGAACCAGCAACTTGATGATGAAATTTGGCAAAGGCGTCTTGTTTGAGTTGTTGGGTGCGGGTGGCTACAACAGAGCACCATTTTGAGATCCCATTTCTGATACGAATGCGATGTCTATAGGTACTAGTTGCAGTGCTAATCGAAGGGCAATGCTTAGACTACATTTTCAAGTTTCAACATTCATTCATTCATTAATTACAATCATAATCATGACCACTACTATCAAGCTGAGTTAAGTACAAACTTACGCCAACAGAAAGCGCGCGAAAGTGGAGTGACCAGATTGACGCCATGGTCACAATTCACAGCTCAATTCGCACTATACCCAATTCAATTTAAGGTTTCTCCTTCCATTGCTCGCTCCTCCAACTCAATTTCAAGGTTAGGGCTACCAATATTTTTCTAAGAGAAAATTTTCCAATGTTCTCGAATTCAGTTTGAAGATTGGATTCGTGCCGCAATGTTAGCGCGTCACAAGGTTGCGACTTGGATTGGATTCCTTCCGGTCGTATCTTTGATGAAGTTTTAATCTGAAACTGCCTCCATAGACGACATGTCGTTTAACGTTGCATTCAACCTTTTTTTTTTTTTTAATATCCATATTCTTGAAAACAACGGTTAACTCTATTTATATTTTTCATATTACTTTTTGGGATAGGATACGTTCACAAACTTTTTTTGCAAATTATACTAAGTACGACCAGTTGTACTCTGTATTAAAGTATGAACGATCGTACTTATTGTAGTTTGTAAACAAAAAAATTTGTAAATATAACATGCCCCAAACTTTTTAATCAAAATAACTACAAGTATAAAATAATTATATTTTTTATTGACATTGTTATATTATAAAAGCAATTATTCAATCGGAAATTATAAAAAATGAAGAAGAAGAAACCGGTTAATTATTTTAATATTTTGAATTTTTTTTATTCAGAATGTGAAAAGATTTATCTTATAATAAATCATGCAATCTCAGTTGGAAAATAGTCACAAAATTTTACTTTATATCAATATTTATAGAGTAATTATTTTCAAGCAAAGTAAATTAATTTGTTTTATATTTTTAAAATTACTGAGTTTAGCTCTTAAGTAGTAAATAGCATCGTGTCAGTTATATATAGACGTATATAAACCATACCTAATGTAATAATGTATTTGCGAAAAAAATTATAACATTGTTCAAGGCTCCAAAATCATATTTATGGAATAGTAATTTTGTATGACGAGAATAAAATGGGAAAGAACTAGAATGGATCAATGACTTTCGTAATGCATAGTTAATAAATTTATTATTTGATTAGTAAAAAGAAAATATGAACTATATATAGTTTTAAATATATTTTAAATGAGATAAATATCTCTCGTAAAAAAATTGAAAAACAATGTTCAAGTTTTTCTAATAATTCAATAACAATAAAATATATGAAGCGTACACATACACACACAATATTGATACTAGTTTTATTGTCGATGGGATTTTGAATTTAGCAAAGAGTAATCATTGTGGTGGATCCAAAATTCTTTATTTATTTATGCATATTTAGGGGCTGCACTTCGAGCGCGGCAAATCCAAAAAAAAATTTGAAGAAAATTTTAAAAATATTAAAAACAAAAGAATATAAATAAGTGGTTCCTATAAAATTTTTGGATACTTAACAAATATTACGGGACCTAATTTAATCTTATAGAAAAAAAAGTTGATTTGTAATTTTTTTGAAATTTAAAATAGCCCATGTTAGTCATTTTGAGAGACTAACGTGGACCTTCTTTAAATTTCATAGGGATCATGATTTCGACAAACTGAACTTATTTTGAAATTCAGAGAGATCACAAGTCGAATTTTTTTTTAAAGTGATGAAATTAGACCCCATAATTTTTATTGACAACCTAAACGATAATTTATTTATTTTTTTCAATAATTTGTATATGCACTTGCACACAATGGCACAAGTGCTGATCCGCCTCTTGATATGTGAAATTACTGAAGATATGTCGATAAAAAAGAAAAAAGAAGAAAAAAAATCTCATTTTATAAACCTAATGCTCACTCTACGAGGATGAATGGATTCTATTATCCATTTTTATTGTCGTGGAATGGACGTGAAATTATATTGATGTGTTTTTTTTTTTTTTTTTGCGGTAAACATATTGTTGTTCTTTTCCTAAACAAGCAGATGTGGAAATCTATCATTCCATAAAATAAGTATATAATTTTTTTTTTAGTAAATAAATAAGTATACATTTAATTTAACATTCCCGCCTACTTAATCGTCACATTAGTATTTATTATTTTTTTGAAAAAAATGAAAAAAATAAATAAAGCACTTACCGGATGCGTATGAAGTAGGTTCTTGTTTTCCTACGGCGGCTGTATTCTATATTGTGTATTGAACGACACCCAGGAAAAAGGAACATACGAATGGTTTTGATTAAAATAGTACTAAAAAATAAAAAATGAAGTAACAAAATGTGTGGTTATGAATAATGGAATTGGAACATCTAGTTAGGGGAAAGGCAATAAAGAAACCTTGGGACGGAATCACTTTGGCTAGCAACTTATTCTATGATATCTCGCGTCTTATAATTAATTTTACGCACCATTTTTCGTTCTAATTCTCTAAAAAATTTATTGCAAGTGGGATATCGTCTTTTTGTTACCATCATTGGATTTTGATATGGACAAGTTTGATTCCTTCCAGAATTAAATCGCACCCACCTCCACACCAAAATAAAAAATAAAAAATCGCACCCACCCATCGCTTTATATGGCACTACATTCCTTTTAATACTCATCTTGCAACTTATATTTTCCATTTATGGCTCTGCGTTTGGTTGATACTCATCTTTCAACTTATATTCCGTATTTTTGTAAGCTAATATGTGGGAATATCTCTTTTAAGACTGTAGATCGTTTATTGGATTGAATAAGCATGAAATCTCCATTTTGCAAACGAAAAACGTAAATACAATGCGAGGAGATTTTAAAAATTTTCTAATTGTGTGATTTGGAAAAGAAAAAAAAAAAAATTCTACAATATACACAATTATGCTCCGATAAATTTATGAAGTTAAAGATAACATTAAGACAGATAAATCAAAGGGTCCATGATATGTTCATAATGGATGGGTCAAGTGGTAATCAGTCTTAAATTCAGCAATTGAAAGACTTTTACAATGTCAGCACTTAAGAAATTGAATTTGTGAGAGAATGCTTGCGAAGACAGTAAAGGACATGAAAAAAGTTTATAAAATTAAAAATTCATGTCTAATTCAATTACGGAATAATTAAATCATCTAAAATTCTACACGATATGTATAAAATAAAGGAAATGGACTTTGAGATTATGTTGTATAAAATCCTAGATCATGTTCGTAAGGGGGAAAAAAGTCATATAAATTTTCTCATTGACTTGGATCCTCACTGTTAGCGGTATAAATTGGCTAAGTCGGCCTACAAGGGCCTATGGCCTAGCTTATATTAGGTCAGACTTAGTCTGTTACAAATAGTAAAATAGAACAGGCCTAGACTTTTAAAAAACCTATTTAGAAAATAGGCCATAGACTTTTTTTGTACATATCGAGCCTATAAAACTACAGGCCGACCTATATCATATTATTTATTTTAAATAAAATTATTATTTTAATAAATTCGAATAATAAAGTAATATTATTTTAATTATTATTTTAAGAATTCGTTTTTTCTACCGTCAATGCAGATAACTTATTTACATTGAGCCCAAAACGACGTCGTTTTGAAGGGGAAACCAAGATATTTTTGTAATTATAATTTATTTCTGAGTTATAATAGTCTTTGTCATTATAATTTTTTAATTTTTCAACCCAAAACGACATTGTTTTGAGAGCGAATGTAGATAACTTCTCTTTACATTCACTGTAGAAATATTAAAGCCTTCTCTCTAACAGGCCTAGACCAAGGCTTTTATGTTTTAAATATAGGTCAGATCAAACTTGTAATTTGGGGCATACACAGGCTAACAGGTCAGGTCAGACCAATATTTTTTACACAGACTTTGCCTATTTTAAGTCAAAGCCTAATCTAGCCTAGCCTATTTACACCCTTACTCACTGTAATTTACCAACCTCGCGAGCAGCTATACTGAAAAGTTGTGACCTTAAAATAAGCATAGAAGTAAAATGTTAAAAATCGAAACGTGCGAAGACCGGGTAAACTTCGGGACATTGACCATAATAACACGCTTGTGACTAAAAAATATCGATATGCAACGTTCCAATGAAATTTTGTCAAAATGTTATGTTACATTCTCGCTACGTTACCGAGCGAGAATGGACTGGACACGTGGCAGCGTCTGCATGGGCAGTCATTCTCGCTGCGCAGCCCAGCAAGAATGACAAAAGTACAGGCATTCTCGCTGGCCACCTGAACGATTTTTGTGGAGAATGCCTTTACTTTTGTCATATGTCAGCACCTTGCCATTCTTACTAGGCTGCTGAGCGAGAATAGTTGTCTATGCAAATGCTGAAACGTATCCAGTCCATTCTCGTTGGGTGGTATAACGAGGATATGACGTGACATTTTGACAAAATTTAATTAGAACACGTATAACTACTATTTATAAGACTGACATATTGAGCAATGTTTCGTTGAACTTCATCGTGAATAAACTATTATTAATTGATTTGGATGAAATAATAATGCAATCACTCACCATGCCGCTTATCATTATGTGGCTAGTATTAAATGCAATGAAAAGTCAACTGAAACGTGTGTTTGGTATGGCAGTGCTCAAGTCAATGCAGCACCGAAATGCCACAAAAGAATTTTTCTTGTTTGAGAGATTGACTTTTGGCTCTGTCATGAGTCACTCAAGTTGATGATGGCCTTTCATTTACGAGAGAGGTGTCTTCTACAATCACGAAATTGTGAGCTGTGATGGTCGGCTTTTTAATCTATAGTCTTTATTTAATAATTAATTATTAAATTGATTTTAATTATAAATTATTTTAAAAATTTAATCTTTTCAGAAAATATAACATCAACCTACTCTTGTTTGACAGTTGAATATCAAGCCTACCTGGATATTTTCTTTTTTACCCGAGTATTTTTTAAAAAATTTATCATATTCGAATAGGAAGAAGAATATCCAATTATATTTCATAGATCTAAAAAAATGATTGAATTATTTTCCTGAACAAAGAGAGACTACCTGGGTAAATATGTTCTGTCAATTGTATCTACTTCAAGCTACGAGCCGTATTTGCGAGAGAATAGTCAACTTGCTCACAGTACATAGACAGCAAATACAATATGGACCTACTGTTTGTGGAAACTAAAACAACTCAAACTTTTCTTCTCTTGTTTCCCTTTTTCTTATACAAGAATATAGCTTCAAATTAGTTCCACAATGAGAGTTGTTATTGTCACAGGAACAAACCAATTTTTCATTGAAGTAGGCACTCAAGAAACAGTAGTTGAAATCAAAAGAAAAATAGAACAAATCCATGGTGTTACAATGGCTTCACAAATCGTAACAATTTCAGGGTGGGAACTAGTGGATGGTTTAGACATGGAAGATTACCCAATAGTCACTGAAGGAACAAAAGTTGAACTCACAATCATCAAACCAGTGGAGTCACATACTAATCATCCTAACAAAATGCAAATTACAGTAAAATTTCAGCTAGACAGATTAACATAGAGGTGGACATTCTAGTATCTGTTCGTAGCTTGAAGGAAATAGCACACCCATCAAAAGAATGACACTTTTCTTTTTAGGAAAAGAATTGGATGAAGATTTTAGAAATATGAATGAGTATGGCATACGTGAACCATGCATATTTACCCGGGTAGCTGTCTTCCTATCAGGGTAAATAATTCAAGCATTTCTCTTTTTTTTTTTGGAAATATACCTGGGTATTCTCCTCCCTATCCGGGTAGGGTAAAATTTTCAAAAAATACCTGAGAAAGAAGGGATATCCAGGTAGGCTTGATGGTCAACGGTCAAATAGGTGTTATATTTTCTGGAGAGGTTAAATTTTTGAAATAATTTATAATTAAGGTCAATTTGATAATTAATTATTAAATAAGGACTAGAGTGGTAAAAAGCCATGCCATCTTTGAAAGTTCCCTTGTTGACTCCCCATGTCAAAGTGCCGTGAGGGCAAAGCCACCACAATAATCCCAATCATATCAATAACCCTCAAGGTTGAAGTAAAGATATGTACTCATGCATATGGGGAATAAAATTAGTAATCGATCTACTACTATTAAGAAAATTGTCTCTTAAACTCACAATTTCCACATGTACTGGCTATGTTGTTTAAAATAAGGGTTTTATTAATCTCATTTTAAAGGAGATAAATTATCTCATATTATAAAGATAAATTTATAGGCTTCATCACCTGGAAAAAAAAAAGATAACACAATTATAGAAGGGTGTGTACAAGAAAAAACTTATCTTATGTAACTGAGAATCTCTTAAAATAAATGGACAATATATTGTTATTTATTTTTTACAGTTGTTGAAATTTGATTTAATTAATCCAAATTCAAGAGAAGCGTAACCAGACACGACCTCGTCCACATTAGGAACAGTGACCAAAATGTCACTGTTCATCAACTTTTTTATCTAAATGTCACGTGAACAGTGTTATTTTCCAATCTGCCACGGGGGCAAGTTCGCTACCCGGTGTAGCGAACACGGTTTGCTGACGTGTCACGTTTCTAGTGAACACCAACTTGATTTTAACTAAGTTCGCCTACATGGTAGGCGACCTTCATTTTTTTATTATTATTTTTTTAAAATTTGATACTTGTTATCCATTAAAAATGTGACACGTCAGCAAATCGAGTTTGCTACACAGGGTAGCGAACTTGCCTCCGTAGCATATTGAGAAATAACACTGTTCGCGTAGCATTTAGATAAAAAAGTTGATAAACAGTATCATTTTGGTCAGTGTTCCTCCACATTACTCAACAAACAAGAGGGACTTTTTTGCGCCTTAGTATTTCATATATTTTAAAAATAAAACAGTAGCATAATTAATTTCATTGAAATAAAGGAGATTAAAGAGAACAGAAAAAAAATATCTTTTCATTTCAACTGCAATATTATATGTATAAAAAGAATTCACTTATTTTAGCAGTAAATTATAGACGTTTATACTACTTAATAATTTATTGTAAAATATATATCAATGATCATACATATATAGACATTCATAAATACATAATTTTATAATTGATATTGGCTTATATTTTAATAAATGTACGTTAAAATAAAATTATGTAATAAAATATTAACTAATTATAAAATTAATTTATTCAATAAAAAATCCAAACTAATAACCTAGATAAATGAAATTTAGCATTCGTAAAAAGTTATCAAATGATACATGTAAGCCATGACTAATTTCTAAAATAAATTATTCTCCCTCACATATGTGCATACAAAATGGACAATAAAACAAATTTAATGTTAAATTTTTTTCAGTAAATTCAAATCAAGTTTAAGAATTTGTGATAATCAAACTTATTAAATAATTAAATAATAACATTAAATTATCTTAAATTAAAATTAAATCAAATCATAAGTGTAAATTTGAAATATCATTTACTTAAAAAAAAACTACCATTCTCTTTTTGCAATTCTTTTGCACAGAGATATAATAAATGGGAAATGTACTCCCTTTTTATGGGAGAATTTTATTTTTACATCAACCAATTACAATTATGTCTTATTTGCAAGACATATAGTTGTAATTTTATTTTATTTTTTCTCTCATCAAAAGACTATCAGCTGACGTGAAAGATAGAGAAATTATTACAATTATATCTTATTAGTAAGATATAGTTGTAATTAATTGCTGCATAAAATCTCTTTTGCAATAAAAGAAGAAGTTGGGGATCCACAATAAATTAATAGAAAATATTTGACATCCGAGACTACCACTAATACTACTATCACATTATTTCACTCGTTATTTAATAAGAAAATGATACTCGTAGTATTACAAAAAAAAAAAAAAAAATTGATACTGGTATACCAATTTTCTTTGCTATATATTTTTACATTAATAATATTATACAATTACTTTTTTGGCAATAAAATTATATTATTTAGTTATTTAATTCATATGCATAACATTATTGCTTTGTCAAAATCATTTCTCTTTGAAATTAGTGGGATTCCTTCGATAGCTAGCTGCCTAGCACACGGCACACCACTCGGTCATAATCATATACTAATGCTGTAAGTTAAACAAGATTAAGCTTTTTGATGGGTCCCATTACCATCCCAATTTTCTTTCCAACTTTAATGGTCCCCACACGTCCACCCCTTTCCGAACGTAATATCATATTGGACCACAGCCCCACTGAAGAGTCCAGATTCTCAATGAGTAGTAAATAATTAGTTACCTCAGAATCATTTCATTTCTTTTCCCTCTTTAACTAACCCGCTTTGTACACATAACCCTTTTTAAAGTTTTTATGGTGTGGACAAATCGAGACTGCTCATGGTTATCGATAAAAACTGAATCCAAAACGTTTATTCTCTCTAATGATCACAAAACTTCAAAACAAGATGCAATATGATTCTCCCCTTTCTCGTAGTCACAACACAAAGGTCTATGCTGATGAAAGTGATCAGGATCAGGATCTAGCCAGAGCAAAATTAAACCATAAAAACAAAGTTGTAAATATGAATTAACAATCAAATTCAAGGCCATTGAGCTAGCTTGATCATGAAAGAGAAAATAATGGTTGCAATTGCAGAGAATCAGATTTGACACAATTGACTCGAGAGAGTACAAATACAATAATACAACTGCTAATTACAATCCTAACCATGTGCTGCAAACTCTAATTAACAAATCCCTACACATAACTAGTATTCCATATTATACATATTATATTATATAAACAATATTAGAAAAAGAAAAAGGATCGAGTAATTTCAGTTAATATTAACTGAAACCAGAAGCTGAAGCTATGGCAAGAATCGATTGGCATCGTCCTTGAATATGGCCTCTGAATCCGGTGGCGGCGCGTTGCTCGAGTTCCCAGGGGGAGAGATCCCGCCGCACTTGTCACACCTCGAAACCACCAGTATCTGACGGCACGACGGGCATGACGAATGCGATCTGAGCCACGCGTCGATGCAGGACACGTGGAACCCATGGCCGCACTGAGGCAGCACTCGGATTTCGTCTCCGGCGGCGAACTCGGTCAGACAGATCGCGCAATCGGAGAATTTTACTGCGGATTCGGATGTCGCGGTGAGCTTCGGAAGAGAGCGCAGAACCTTCTTCTTGACGCCTTTGTTTGCGGCGGCAGGAGGAGGAGGAGGCTGCGCAGCGGAGGTGGAGAAGAAACGTAAGCGGCGGAGACAGGCGCAGCGTGAGACGGCGACGAGACCAAGAACACAGATGAGAGCGCAGAGAAGAGCGGCGAGGATGACGACGAAGTCAGAGTCAACGACGGTGGAATCAGGTGAGTCGGAGGACGAGTTGCGCTCGCCTAAAAGTCTCAAGGGACGAGTCATGTGATGGTTGTTGTTTGCTTCTCTTTTCAGAAATGAAATTTTTTTGTGCGTGTTTAACGTTTTAGCTTTGCGTTGGAGTAAATAAGCACTATAAATAAGCACTACTGCACTGCACCTCACTCCACTGCACCTCTTGCCTCTTTATATCCCCTTCTAAATATTGTTATTCATACTAGTCATCTTGCACTTCTTTTTTTCTTTTCTTTTCTTTTTGGCCGTAATAATAGCGGCAGTCAACAACTTTATTTGCAATTTCATTAGGACATTGACATTCTGTAGATTAGTGGGAAAAGATTGAAAAAATTAAGAATTTTTTTTAAAAAATTCTCACTGTTGATGAGATTGTAATACAATGTTGGAAAGTGATAGGTAAAGATAAACAGAAAGTTATCTCTATTTTAAATTTCATAACTTTAATTACCCATGTTTTTTTGGCAGTTGATCCGTCCGACTCATATTGTCATAATCAATAATTTATTTATCAACTACTATAATGTTTTTTAAAACCCATCTACCTTTTTTAGCAGGAGCTACAATAGGGATACCAAAAATTATATTTTGATAAGGCCGAAAGTAATCAAATCAGACAAGAATTAACAACTAATATGCTTATTATTATATTACCCCACTTAATTTTTTAAAAGATAAGGTCAAATAAGTAATAACAGCTTCTTCAAACTACTGATACTACATTTTAAAATATATTCTTGATCATATCCTCCTGAAAATTTTATCTACAATCAATTCTGGTCAAAAAGACGTTATAGAAAGAAAAAAAAGAGATTATATTTACCCTATTTTCATTTCTTTAACTGCGGTCTCACACCAAAGAGCATATATGCATTTAACTTTCAGCACTCCGACTATAAATATTAGTACGGTATTGAAAACCTAAAGCTTGTTTGATTCTATTTTGATTTTTTGTTTTTTGTTTTTTTGCTTAAAACTGTTTCGTAGAATAATTAATGAAATAAATATTTTCTATAATTTTTTTATTTTAAAAATTAAAAATCAAAATACAAAACAAAAACAACCGAGACATGTTTTTTAACTTAGATTCTAAAAACTAAAAAACAATTATACTTTTTAAAACTATTTTTACCAAACAGGTCTTATTGAAAAGATTATTTTATCTGAAATTTTGCATCTATTTACATCATTTTATTCACGGGCATGGATTAATCCAATTCCAGCTAATGACATCCTACATTTCCTGTGAAGAATTTTAATAAAAATCGCGAAATCAATATTAAATCATATGCAAACTTCATTTTTAACTGTATTGCACTTCACTTTTAGTTCCTCGTGCAAATTAATTCGCATGACCGAAATAAAAATATGCATGGCCCCATTTTTTTCGGGTGGGGCTTAGGGTCCGGGTGAGAAACAGAACGCGTCTACAGAAAAATGACAATCAGAACATGTCTACAGAAAAAGCTCTGCTCTTCTTACAAGTCAAATCTCACATTCCATCTACCTTTGTAATCTGCATTTAACGTCCAATTATTCTCCCTAATCTGCAGATAAGGAACCTGAAAAAAGAGTTTTAAGATAGAATGCAGCATTAAGAAAAGGCAAAAATATAGCACGGCAATATTGGGGAAAGGAACATAGAACTAGATCATCAAAATATCTAGACAAAATGATCAACTGCAACTTCACAGATTCTTCCAACTTCTTAATTCCTAAAAAGCATTGGGTTGCTACCAGACGAAACATCAGCAACAGATTATAGTGATTTTTTACTACTTTTTTTTAGACAGAATAAATTAATAGGAGTTAAATAGAAGGCTCATCATAATTTATTTATTTTTGATTTAACTGCACCAACCCATTTGACACATTTCAATATAGGTTAAAATCAACAATTTGCCCTCCCAAAATACGTGCCTCCATTAATTTCAATATTTTATGTCTTTACATAGATTGGACACGATACTTGTTGATCGAACATGTTTTTTTCCTGGTTGAATGGATCAAACTGTTGTTTAGTAGGCCAAAATGATAGTTAGGGCATAACTATTTTTACTCTGGACAGTTCAATCAGCTCTAACTCAATTAAGCCTTATGCAAAGGCAAGATGTAGAACTAAAATCAACAATAACTACATGGAGACATAAAGAATGATACCAAAGAACATAGGGGCAACAAACGGATTTCCCTTCATTTGGTTTCTGTGGGGAAAATGGGAATGCGTGGGAGCACATAAAAATATTCCCAGAACATGGACAGAAAACACAATCAATACAGCAGCAACTAGATCACAAAACTAATCTTGACAACATTAAACTTCAGAAGTTATTCTTCCTCAAACAACCGTGTGAATCAGTGATGACGAGACCTCATCCAACTCAAAATCGTAGTTATAAATAGGGCATCATTGTGCTCGCTACAGAATTCAATGATCTACCAGGCTTTGTTGCACTACAAGAGGGCCATAAGACAATATTCTTCTCATTTTCCTTTGGTTTTCTTTCCTCACATTTTTCCTTCCAATTTCTATTCTCATCCAAAAATGGTACTAGGACAAAGGAGTACACTCAAATCAACAAGGATGGCTACTAGTCCCCTAAGCAGTCTTGAGACACTATCATATTAGGACAAGGAACACAGCTGAGAGTAAAACAAATTGAGATTAATTTAATCTACGATAACAATTGGATAATGCGTGGACGTGTCATCATGTCATGCCACAGGAGGCACCTATGAAGTCCCTCAGATCAAAAAGGTTCAGAATTTAAAGGAGTGTATAAAGGGCAAACCCAGTGTCCAAGGCTCCCCGACTAGCGAGGATCAATTGCAAGCAGTTTTATCCTTATATTTTTGCAAAAAGTTGTTTCCGGAGAGTGTATGCATGGTAATATTATTTTGCAAATTGAAACTGATAGAAAACAACCCAAACCTGTTCAAATATTTCGTAGCCAAGCCTTAATCTAACATCTTGGTCCTTCTGAAAATTGAATATGCTCCATGAGAACTCAGCAGCTCCTCTGGACTTCCTCTGCAAAGAAAATAATTTAGCATTGTAGTGAAAAAAACAAATTTTAACATTAGATTATACATAATATAATTTAGCATTACAGTAACACGAACCGCAAGGTCGATTGACAACATATACCTCTTTAAACTCTTTGTCAACATCACACTGTCCCTTAATTTTAAAGTTGAGCAGGCCATCGATTGTCACAGGAAATGTTTTCTTTGCACGTACAGTGTACCGTAACTTGTCACGTTTATCATATCGCAATCCTACTCCAAGGGTAGCTGATAACTACAATAATTTTAGAACAGAGACATTATTTACATTTTTGAAAAGGAAAGAGAAGGGTGCGACATTGTGTAAATGACCACAAAATTAACACACACATTTGGATAGAAATGTCTTATGAGGGCACTCAAAGAACTTGGTTGTCCAATCCTTGTATCAAGCTCTCCCTGCACCTGGAACACGGAAACACAAGTATAAATTTCGACGGATACATAGATGGAGAAGAAGCTAACATAACCTCAGTCTCTTGAATTACAGTATTTTCGGTCTTAAAAAGGAATTAGCAACATGCGCAAAATGTGACCCTCTAATTACCTGGAAGTAGGTGTTGGAGTCGATTGGAAGTTTTTCCTTCGCATGGATTCTTAGAACTTTGGAATCTCCGTACCTCAGAGATGTCTCCATTTTCCTGATAATTATGCTGCTCCTCCGTTATCCTCACTCCAATGTTAATTATTAGATAAAACCCTAAGACTCTGTCTGGCCAGACTCCAATTTTTTTTATTTTTTTTTATTTTTTTTTTTCTTTTTTCTTTTTTCTTTTTGGCACAAGAGTCTCCGTTTTCTTGTGTATGGGCCCCTTGAAGTCCAATTTCATGTTCGACACAAGCCCAAGAATGCTTACATTATTTATCACATTATGCAGTTCGTTTTTTTTTTTTTTTCTTTATTATATTATGAGTGAATCAGTCTAGTAACTTGAATATAACATTTTTAACTTAAAATTTGGCTACGACTTATACGTATGCTTCTTCAATAAATTTCAGAAGAGATTAGAGACCAGCAATATATTGATCAAACCTAAGAAATATTAATTTGACCCAGGGAAGGCTCATTATTCATACAAGAGATTACATTAGGATACAAAAGGTTGAGAAGAAAACTCTAATCTCTAATAAAGGAAATCGTTGTTAGGATGGCAGGTTCGGTAATATTTTAACGCTTCTGACGTTATAAGCCTTACTACTTAGATTCCGCGCATTGATCCAGCTATAGATTGGTTGGGTGACAATTTGACTAAAGTGCTTCAAGCGATGTAGATTATTTCGTGGGGAGGTTAAGAGATTTAGGCCTCAACCTTAGTGGATTGAACCTAAGAGAGTTGGGCCAATCACATTAGTCCTGATTCTCCTGAACAATGTTGTTATGTTAATACAAAATTAAGAATGAAAAAACAATAACGAAAGTTAATAAATATGCCAAACCCCCGGTTTTGGCATGCCATTGAGAGTTATGATGAACTACATCAAACTCATAAGAGTCGTTTACATAGAGTTTATAACTGTTGTTTTGTAGTAATTTAATCATTATAATATTATTTAGTTATGTCTCCATTATGTCTATTCATATATGTTAAATGATAGTCATTTAATTTTTTAATTTATTTTATCTTAAATTATTCAATCTAATCTACTACAGTGTTATTACAAGCATGCAATGCTTTAATTTGAAGTGAATTTTTTTTTAGGAAAACAAAAATTTAAATGGGATTAGATACCAATAGTAGTACTTCACTAGGGTCCGAGAAGACCTCTCAATCTCTTTGAGGATTTTCAAGAGAGATTATCTATATCACATACCAATAAAGTTCTCACATTGATTAGCAAAATTTGAATTCACGCTCTTATAAAATATGGACCAAACTTTTACCCAACTGAGCCCAACTTTGTTGACAAAAGTGAAGTTTTTAAATTACGAGCATACATTGTTTTAAATTTGATATTAACATCATTAAAAAAACAACAACTAACATTCAAATCGTATTCTTTTGTCATATAATATCTATCATGATTATATTTCAAATTTGATGCGAATTTTTAATTTTTTTTTTATTCTAAAAGGGATCATGTGTATTAAATATGAGAAAGTTGTAATACAAATCAAAAAACCAAATTCAAGTCCCTCGAGCTCGAGCTAAGGCATAAAAAAGAAAATGGTCACACTTCACCTAAATGGAAGCAATTGTTGTTAATTGCATAGAATCAGATTTGGCACAATTGACTTGACATATTACAAACTGCTAATTACAATGCTAGCCATATGCTGCTAACTCTAATAAACTAATTCCAATTCGAATTTTTTTTTAAAAAAAAAAAACACTTATAGCCTTCTATTCGCAGTTTGGATTGGATTGATTTTGGAAACAAAAATTATCTGATCCAATTCTTTCGATTTGATCATATAATCATCCATTTGGTTTGAATTTTTTTTCAAATCCGATCCGATCCGATACAATTTTTTTCGATTTGAATTGGATCAGTTTTTGATTTTTTGAAAATTATAAAATTTGTTTCATGATTATTGTACAAATAATATTTTTTTGTAATATTGACTTTGTAAAAAAAAATTAAAATACAAAAGCATTAGTAAACGATAATATATATATATATATATATTGTGATTATTGATAAAATGTGACTAGATTTTTTCTTGAGTTTAGTTAATGAGTTAATGGGGTTTAAAAATTTTTGAGCTATAATTGAAAAAAGACCCAAGTAGATAGAGCGGAATTAATATATTTGATCAGTTTTCATCAACCAATCAAAAAACTGATCCAATTCAATTAAAATTTGCGAGTTTTTTCAATTTTTGATTTTTCGATTTTTTGTTTATTATGTTATCGATTTTTTGTTTATTCAGTTACGTTGATCAACACTCTATTCTGTTGTTATACACAACCTGATATTCCAGCATATTATACATATTATTTTATAAAACAAGATTAGAAAAAGAAAAAGGAAAGAAAAGGATTCAGCATTTTTCAGTTAATATAAACGGAAACCAGAAGCTTAAGCTACGGCAAGAACCTATTGCCATCGTCCTTGAATCTGGCCTCCGAATCCGGTGGCGGCGCGGTGCTCGAGCTCGCAGTCGCAGGGGCAGAGATACCACCGCACTTGTCACACGTAGAAACCAGAATCTGACGGCACGACGGGCACGAAGAATGCGATCTGAGCCACGCATCGATGCAGGACACGTGGAATCCATGGCCGCACTGAGGCAGCACTCGGATTTCGTCTCCGGCAGCGAACTCGGTCAGACAGATCGCGCAATCGGCGAATTTTACAGCGGATTCGGCGGTCGCGGTGAGCTTCGGAAGAGAGCGCAGAACCTTTTTCTTGACGCCTTTGTTGGCGGCGGCCGGAGAAGGCTGCGCATTGGCGGTGGAGGAGAAACGTAAGCGGCGGAGACAGACGCAGCGTGAGACGACGACGAGGCCAAGAACGCAGATGAGAGCGCAGAGCAGAGCAGTGAGGATGACGAGGAAATCAGAATCGAAGACGGCGGAGTCAGGTGAGTCCGGGGACGAGTTGCGCTCGCCTAAAAATCTCAAGGAACGAGTCATGTGAGTGTTGTTGTTTGTTTCTCTTTACGGAAATGAAAAAAGTTTGTGTTTTACTGTTTTAACGTTTTGGCTTGCGTTGGAGTAACAACTACTGCACTTCACTCCACTGCACCACACCACCTCTTGGTTCTTTATATCCCTTTCTAGATATTGTTATTCATATTTCATAGTAATCTTTCTTTTTTATTTTTTTTCCCTGATAATACTGGCACTTTACAACTTTATTTGGAATTTTGTTAGGATATTCTATAGATTCAGTTCATTGAAGAGTTGAAAATCGTGTTACTTGAATAGTATGATCCATTTACGGGATTTGACTTTTTTATTAGTGGAAAAAGTGAGAAAAAAAAAATTAAGAAAATAAATTTTAACAATTTCAAAAATTTATTAGATATACTTTATCTTGATATTAATCATCAACTTCCTTTTCAACGATTATAACTCTTTCTCAAATCCCATCTACCTTTTTATTAGCAGGAGTCCCATCCACAAAATTAAATTTTGATAAGATAAGGCCTAAAGTGATAACAAATTATCATATGACCCAACTTCACTTAATTTTAAACAGAAGATAAGATCAAATAAGTAATAGCAGCTTGTTCAAACTACTGGTATTACATTTTAAAGTCTATTCTTGATCACTTCCTCACATTTTTGTCTACAATCAAGTTTAGATAAAAAAAAAGATGCTATAGACAAGATATAGATTATTGTTACCCCCATTTTCATTTATTTAACTGCGGTATCACGTCAAATATGCATGAGTTTAATGCTTACATTATCACATTATGCACTTTTTTTCTTTATTATATTTAGGGTTGGTAAAACGGGCCAACCCGACTCAACTCACGTTCAACCCGAAAAAAATGAGCCGGGTTAAGGTTGGCTCGAAAAATAAACGAGCCAGAAAACTCAACCCAACCTGACCCGAGTCGGGTTAGGGTTGGCTCAAAAAAATGAAAAAATAAAATAAAATTTCATTGATGCTATGACTTCTAAAATTTTTCCCTAAATTATTAATTCATTCAATACAAAGATATTATACAGATAAATCATAAAAAAAAAAAATTGCATTTGGACTTGGACTTATTGACAGTTGGCACCACATTCACACTGTCATACATACTATAAAAAAAGTCCTTAATGCATGGTTTTGGACTTATTGGCAGTTGCAGGATATTTTTGTTTGGGTCTTTGGAATTGGAATTTTAGGCTTTAGCTTTCCACTTTACCTTTATTAATTTTTATACCTTTATATTAAAAAAAAAAAAACATAACCCGCGAACAAACTTGTTTGACCTGTGGGTTGGCTCGATTTTTTTCGAGCTGATGACTCGAGTTACTTATTCATTTTTTCTAACCCAACTCGACTTATTTTAGCCGGTTACGAGCCAACTTTACCGAGCCTAATTATATCATGAGTGAATCATTATCGTAAGTGCATAACTTGAATATAACATTTTGAACTTAAATTTGGCGACGACTTATAATGATTAAGCCTAAGAATTATTATGTAATAATTTGACCCAGAGAAGGTTCATTATTCATTAACATGAGATTACATTGGTACAATAGGTCAAGTAGGAAAGTTTAATCTCTCTTAAAAGAAATCATTCCTAGGATGGCAGCTTCAGTAGCATTTGTTCGCTTCTGAGGTTAAGCATTGCCACTACGTTGACAAGAGATTGAGGCAACAAGTGACATATTTTCCAAATCATAATCCAATTCTATTCGTCCATGTAATACACCGTTTCAACTCATTCACGTTAATGTTATTAACAGATCTATTCGTATATCTATTGAAGTTATAAAATACACCACATGCATAAGCCCAGCCAAAATTTCAAAGCCATAACTTGGGTATCTACTGTTACAGTGTTTAATAAATAAATAAAAAACGTCTACATCAATTCTGATGTTTTGGAATAATTTATTGCATAATAAAAAATATTTATAACAAAATCCATAAAAGCTTATGAAAAAAACGAAATAATAATCCCTTAAAAATTAAGCTTTTCCAAACATGCAGAATTTGTTGATTCAAATGATTTAGTAAATTTGAAAAACGCATTATATGATTTGTAACTTGAAACGGGTTGTTGTAAAATTGAGCAGTGTTAGCAACCATGTGTTACGGTTATAATCCTTAATCTAGCATATTTATGCTCAATGTTATCATAACATTACTAGTAGACTAGTTCGCAACAAAATTCCGCTCTACAGAAGTATTACTTATCTCTACGCAATCATCAAACTGCAATAAATTTATGACCTAAATCAGATAATACAAAGTCAAAACGGGAGGACATTATCATCTCGAGCATCATAGCCACCTATCATATCTCATCAATCAAGTCCATTAGATCATCAATCTCCTGTCTTAGAGCTGTAATTTTCTGCTGATGTGAAGCAATCCGATTCTCAATTTCCCTTCCTCCTAACTTCTTCTCATAGCAGTCTACAACTGTAGAGTGCTTTGCCATAAGTCTCTCCTGCAAGTCTCTCTCCTTAGCAACAAGTTCCTCCACCTGAAAACAAAAAAGATAAAATTATGGAATTATAAATAAAGAGGGAAATAATGCACAGACGAAAGCATTTCTAACATAACCTTGGGTAATATTTGAGCTGCTTGCGGAGAAGAATGCAAGAATGCCACTGGTAGCTTCAACTCTTTATAGAGCTCTTTCAACGAGCCATCAACTGATTTTCGGGTTGCTTTACAGGCCTGAACATCTCCTGTCCTAGAAAGATCACGCAGTGATGCTTCTAGCTTGTCATGTGTTGTCAAGCAACGGCTAATGATACCATGGATCTGCTGAATAGTTGCTTGCACCTGAATGGTGAACCATGGTGTATAATATAAGTACTGTATTCAATTGCAAATACTAGATTTTGTGTATGATACGAGTTGATTACCTCTTCCCACTGGAGCTTTGCCAAATAAGATGCAGAAGACTTGGAGATTGACAAATCTGCACGCATGTAGACAATGCAGGCAACAAACAGAAAGAAAAACCCGGAAATCAACATCAAAGGCTCCCTAAGCATAGAAAGACTGTTAAACTTATAATAGACCTGCAATACAAGCAATGGAAACGGTGATCAGTAATCAGTACACCAAACCAATACTATATATCAAAACGAGGAGGGGAAAAAATAAGATTGTATACAAAGCAATCAATTCATAATTTCTCCTTTCCCTAGTTCTCGTACCTAGCAATCTCTCAAACCCTTGTGTTTCATTTTCTGATGGGCTATACTTGAAAAAATAGAAGCAAGCCATATTTTGTGAGAGAAAAACCTCCGCATATAAATATATCAGCAGTGAGCACCCAACTCAACAAGGTGAGCAGTCTATGAATTTCAGGATACTAATTTTTGTTTTTTCATAATAAAAATTTAAGAAAATCGTGTTACTTTTTGTCATGTCCTTCAGAATCTGAACAGTGCTAATATCATTCTTAAAAACATGACCTTTTTGGATCATTTATGCATTCTATATTTTTGGTGGCTGGCTTGTTCAGATTTAGCACTTTTAAGTTCCAACATTGATACCTGAAAGTGCTCATTATGCTCGGGCACAACATTGTTCTTCTCCAGCACAACGACAGGTCTACCGGCAACATCCAAGTGGGAAAACTTTGTCTGCAACAATTACACCAAAGAACTATAAAACCTAAACAAGGGAATGGAAAAGCTACAGTTTGATAGATGATTTCAATATAGCAATACCTCCTGCCATTGTTTCACAGGAAATGGAACAGATGCCGAAAATTCTTTAGAACCCTCTGGCAAAACAACCTGAAATTAGCAAGCACCAGGCAAATGCGATTGTAAGTCCTACTTATACCACTATCATACAGACAACAACCCAAAAAAAGAAAGAGTAGGGAAAATTGCAAAAAAATGAATTCATTGTAAAAATATTTCAAATTTATGAACAATTAACCACTCAATTCTCAAATATCAGTATGGGGTTACTAGTTAACAACTTAGGCGCCAATTAATAAAAACTCACTTTTATATTCTCATTATTTAACCACGGACAAAGGAAAAGTTCATATTTAGATAAAGAAATTCAATTTCCCCCGGTATATTTCTTTTTCCTCTGAAAAGGTAAAAGTGAAATGTGATGTTGCACAAGTCACAATGACAAATTCTCCACTTTAAGATCGCATCCAAGTTTCAACCAACAAAAATGATCAAAAAAAAAAGTTAAATATATATTATCAAGATAAAATAATCTCACTCACCTTCACAAAGAGGGTGTCAATGACCAAATCATTAATGGGGGTACCAAAAGAGATATTAAGGAAGCGTTTTCCATCCAATCCAAATAAGAAGTCCTGAAGTGGTAAGCCATAGCCTATGGTAAAGGCAGTTTTCCAGCCACCAAACAATGGGTATCTAGGTTCAATCTCCAGTTCCGTCTGTGATTTTTAAAGAATTATTATATTTGGCAAATTTTAGCAAAAGTATTTCAGAGTAAAAATGTCAGAATATACACCTTCTTCGAGTCACCCCATAAACTAGAAGTGGAAATGTTGCCAATTTCATCCCTGTAGTACACAGAATGAGCTCTTGGCGGCATCTTGGCAACAAGACGCCTAAAAGCTGATGCACCTCTTACATATGGACGGGCCTGATAATCAAGCCTGCAGCAGGAAACAAACTATTATTTTATGTCCAGCTAACATAACAATCAAACAATTCAGAATCACAGAAAAAAGAAAGGTGACCTAGAAAATTCCCCTTTGCTCTGAGCGCCGCCATGAACGAGATTGTAATGCTCTGTGACCTGTACATTGCCCCAATGGGAAATCTCAATCTCTCGTACTAACTCTTTAGCCACGGCAAACGGTTGATTATTCTCAAAGTGAATAACTATTGGCAAGTACGAGAATGGAGGAAGATTCTCATACGGACCATATTTTAATTCAGAGCCCTGAAGTTTTGTATTTTCTAGTTTTGTATAGGACTCTATCCTTGCATCAGGCAATTTTACAGTGAGTGATTGGACCTTGACTGCATAAGGAGAAAGATAGTGTGCACTTTCTTGAAACAGTAGAAGCTGGATATCAGCTTGAGTAATTTTCTCTGGAAATGGTTCCAATATGTGGGTAAAAACAGCCAATACATCCAACGTCAAACTATCTCCCTTCCCAACCCCACTAGGTAAAGATACAGAGTAAATTGTCAAGGCAGGAGGCACATCTTTAGGGTGAACAACTTCAACAGGTAAACCAACTCCAGCAGATGCTTTCACTTTTCCCTTCCCTTCATTAAGGGTCGCCGTCAAGTATGCCAAGTGATTTGCCTGGTTTTCAGGAAAGGACAACAAGATCTCTGACACAGGATCAGATCCAGTGTTCTCCACCTGTAAAAATTGGACGATAGGGAAGACAATAAGAAGATGGAGAGATACATTAAAATAAGAAAGGAGATAGGCGACGGCATGCTAAACACGATTATATTTGGTAAGTGAATTTTACAATTGTTTTTCTTTCAAATTTAAATCTATAATTTTCGGAAGAAGGAAAAGATTCACGTTCAAAATGCATTTATTATTCAGCCCAAGTTTCTAAACTGGAGTCTATGTTGGATTTCTTCCAGAAGCTTAGGTTGCCAACTACTTTACCCGTGTCTTTGTATTTTATCGTTTAGAAGAAATGAGATACATTAGTAAAGGTAAGTCACAATGTTTTGGAGACAGGCAGCATCAAACCTCTCACAGAGAATTCAAGAAATATAACTAAATATATGAAGGATAGAAAAATGAATAATATTTTGAGCACCTTTAGTGTAGTAGTTATGCGCACAATTTGTGATGTCAGGTCAATCTGCAAAACATAAGGAAAAGATGGTCAGAAGAAGCATAAAACCTGCAATGATAATTATTAGATATTGACGAAACAAGTGACTCTGATTCATAAGTTACAGCATAATAAACAGAAAATTTAGGACCAAATAAGTGAAGTCATATATCAGATATTCTTCTGCTATTGATTTTAATCGGCGTGAAACTTATATAGACATCGAATACAAAAGAAGCAGAGGTATAAATGCGCATGCATATATCCAAAAATATAAAAATATTGTAGATCGAAGGAAATGAAATTGGCCGTGGTGCATTCTGGATTCTGAAACCGAAACCCTTGGGAGTATAGTAGAATAGAATGGCTAATTTTAGGGGAGTTAGCATTCATATGATGTAGAGAAAGCGGAAAGAGTACAAGAGGTGAAATCGAAACCCTAAAAGGAGAAGAAAGAGGAAAGAGAAGACTTACACGACGGTCAACCTTGGCGAGGATGAGATCGGAGGCGGAGAGCGCAGGCGAGGATAGAATGGGAAATAAGAAAAGAAACAGAAACAGATCCAACCTCATGATGGATGATCTTTGATTGTCTTCTCTTCTATTCTTCTGCTCCTTCTTCGATTGCTCCCTTCAACTAAACACCCCAGCAGCCTAGTCTCTGCTACTGCTCTGATGCTCTTTGTTGTTCAAGTGTTAGTGTGCCATTCACCACTATACTCTCTTTTTTTAAAATAATAAAAATGAAAGTAAATTAAAATCAAATCAAATAAAATTCATTATGTATCCAATATTTTAAATGAATGATTTTGAGAAGAGAATCGCCATGTTATGTATCCATTATTAACAGTTACGTCCACTTTTATCAAACTCGATCCAACCAGTGAAATAAAATATAATAAATATAAAATTAAAAGTATTTTAACTAATAATTAGAGTTAATTGATTTATTATTTCAAAAAACAAGTCAATTGATTTAAAAAAAAAATTAAGTTGATTTAATGATAGGTGCTATAAGTTTCAATTCATATGCATATCGATGCTAGTTTAATACTGATTGAATTTAGTTTATCGATTTTATACTGGAGCAAATACATAATCGATCCAATACTTAATCGATTCGGCCGAGTCAGGTTGGTTTTAATAACACTGGTTATGTTCATTACGCAAAATAAATTTTTTTAACAAAAAACATTAATATTAAAGATAATGACAAAAATAATAATATTACAAGTAATGGGTGAAATTAGTTTTTTTTTTGTTGGTAAACGGTGAATTAGTTATTTTTAATACTATGCATGTACTTAAATTAAATGATTACAAATTTTAGCATTCAACTATTGCACAATTTATATCACATCATAAATTCAAATTTATTTTTAATATTATAGATATATAATTATAATGAAATCAAATTAATACAAAAAATCATTATATATAATTTAGCAATTTATATTTTTATAAATGGTTTAATTTCTCTGCTTTTACTTGAGAAAAAAATTTCATGCCATACTAACATAAAAGCAAGTGATCCCATCAATCTTTTCTCTTTTTTCTTTACAATGGGACACACTAACTTCTAAGTTCTACGTGAGAGTGATAGATAAATTTTTTGTGTAATAAAAATATAAATATTTTTTTCTTTTGTAAATTATATTTTCATATATTATAATTATATATGTATAATTTATAATTATACATATTTTAATAATTTATAATTATATTTTCCATTATGATTTAACTTTCTTTCCTTCCATTCTAATAATTCATGTAGTTGTGTGTGCTCATTGTTATGTTCACGCCGGTCAAAAATGAAATAAGTTAGTGGACTAAGTGTTTCCTTTGAAGGTTTTACTTTTAGAGTGAACTCACTCAGGGTGTCTCTACCTCGTAGGATGAGAATAATTCTTTCGTGGTTTGAAGGGAGAAGATTTTCACCATTGATCCCAAAGTTCTTCTCATAGGAATCGAACTCATGACTTCATCAGCCACCAGAGTTCGACCTTTGAGCTGCAATCCGCTTACCAACTAAGCTACATATTGGAGTTGAAAGTTTTGCTTTTACTTCTCTTCTAACAAACTGAAGATTAGTTAAACATGTTTTTATAGAAGCTCTTATTATAAAGAGAGCTTTATGTTATAATGAATAAAAAAAACAAAAAACCTTTTATAATTTATCTGCAAATGAAAATGCATGATATTATGCCTGTTATTGGGTATTGCTTTTTGTAAAATTATTGGGCGTTTACCATGCAATTTGGCTTCTTCTTTAATTTTTGTTCGTTTTAGTTATCTAATTTATTCTTATTTATTATTTGTTTTTATTCGAGACTTTTTTTTTATATACGTTTTTCATTCAATACTTCGTATTAACTAAAAAATCACTCACTTAAAAAAAAATCAAACATAAGTGAAAGCTCTAGATTAAAAAGCGTTTATAAAATACAAAACAAGTGATCCAAATATATACAAAGATCACTTTTAAATTGCAGCCACGACAAAAAGGAAGACGAGTACATTACAATCTCGCAATAATAATAATAATAATAATAAAAGGCACAGTTTCTCGCCCAACTCGAAAATAAAAAATAAATAAATTAAAAGGGTTATTGGAAAAAGAATAGCCGTAGCCTCACAGGGTACAAATTCTGAAGTTAAAAAAGTTGTTCATAAGTCAAGGCTCACATTTCAGGTAGCTACAACTTGCAAAAGCTCAACATTTAGTTCAAATGTACCTCCAGGCTGCAACATCATAAACAACTTTTAGCAAGCACATGTTGTCCATAAATATGTTTACATAAACAACATCATTAAAATGTAAAAGACCTGTACCCCCAAAAAAAAAACAAATGTACAAGACCAATGAGAGGGTTCAATTACAACAGGACACCGGATATCAACTTGGGGATAGGAAGAAAATGAGTGCAATTTTAGTCCATGATTTTTTTATCCGATCAACAATGAGTAAACAGTGAAGTGTTCAATTACAACAATAGAGGTGAGCGTGACAAAGTTGGCAATGCAATTTTCATGGCCACGCTCCTCCTATATGGCATTTGTCCATACATATGTTCTATCAGCAGAGATTGATTTCACTAAAAAAAGGACAGTAAAAAAAACAGGATTTTATCTAGCCAAAAGTTTGTCAAAAATTAAATTGGCATCAAGGGTGAAAGAAATGAGATAGCAATCAGAGGTCATTACCGGAATCTCATTCATTCCCCTCTGTCCATACCCATTTTCAGGAGGAACAATCACGGTTCGCTGCAACCATTGAAGAAAACAATAATAACATATACAGAAATAACACACAACTAATAACAAAATCAGATGAAGCACCACAACAAAACCAAGAAGTATGTTTTGATCACCTTTCCACCAACTCGCATTCCTTCAACTATTGTATACATAGCAGGTGGAGGTTTTGGTGCTGCTTGTGCAGAGAATAGTCCATTTGGGTTGTCTACAAATTCACGCTTCCTTTCCTTTCCTGGTGGAGCTCCCACCGTGAATTCATACGGCTTTTAAGAGCATAAAGCATGCATGCATCAGCACCACTTTCATACTTTCTAGGCAAGAGATCACTATATTATCTGAAGTGTTAATGTAGGTGAGCTTAGATATGTATCCCTTAAAAGCTGAAATATATCGCTATGGTGATCGTCTTAGACGCACTGGTATATACCAAAGCTCTTGGTCACTGTGTATATCTCAAAGATAGTTGAAAAAGGGAAATGTGTAGAGGGCAACTCTGTGTTGGCAGAGTAGCAGCTCATAAATACAGTGGATGTAAGGCTATGTTGCACCCACGCTGACGCTAACAAGGGATACGGAACATGACACTCTGATACGTTAATTCTAGAAAATGGTAGATTTTGATACATTAGGACATGTTTTGATATTAAATAATATTTTTAATTTATATAGAGTATATTATATTTAGGATGTGCATGACAATCTTCCCAAAATAAGTTTTTTTTTTTTCATTTTTGCTCCCGGGAACAAAAATGGATAGAAACAGTGTTTGACAAAACCGGTTTATTTTTTTGTTCCCAAGAATGAACCTCATCAATTTCTGTGCTGAGAACAGAAAAAAGAATCAAAAAATTTCGATTTTTTGTTCTCGGGCACAAGATGAGAAACACTTGTCTCTTTCAATCACTCCCCACCACTACCATCATCACCACCACCGCCATCACCGCCACCTCCACTACTACCACAGCCGCCACCATAACCACCACCACCATCGTCGTAGCCACTGCCGTCACCACCATGCCACCATTACCACCTCCTCCATCACCACCACCATTACCATCATTATCATCACCACGCCACCGCCGCCATCGGTATGAAAAGGAAAGTGATAACCCGAAAAAATTTATGCTTAATATGAATGCTTTTTTATTCTATTATTTGTTGTGTTATCAAACGCAATTCTTATTCTCGGAATAAAAATAGAACATGTTATCAAACACATTTTCTTCTTCTCAGAAACTGTTCAAAGGCACAAAAATAGAAAAAAAATGGTTTCTTTTCAGAAACAGTGCCAGAGAATAAAATGATTGTCATGCACATCTTTAATATTCAACAATTTAACAAAAAATGAAGATAAACATATAATACCCATCAATTTTGCAAAGAAACATATGATATTACAAATATTTATGTTAAACTCAATAAAATGGTAATTGTAATCTAACGAATCTAATAGTTGGAATTAGAAACGCAAAGCAACGCAACCTTTGAACCATTTTTCGAGTCTTTGCAACGCGTATTAGAGTGTCGGGAGATGTCGGACACGACACGTCAGGATTTTTGAAATGTCGGTGCATCATAGATGTAAGGTGTCTCTTTAATAGAAGAAAAAATGTATATATAGGTGGAAAATATTTGCTAATGATAAGAGTGAAGATAACCATTTTATCTGTTATCTCAATGCTAGGAGTGAGTTAGCACACCACCAATGTGTATAGTATGGTGGTGAGCTGTATTACGGAGAGAGAAATCCTCTATTATGAGGTCTATGGTTCCTACTTTAGGGAGTTACAGAAGTGACCCCCTTAAATGAGCCTCTAAAAGCCAACCCATGACTTTGGGCTGTGAGCTCAATCCTAATCTAAGAAATTTAGATGACTTTGGAGTCGAAATTCAGAAAGAAACTAGTTTTTCCCACTAGTAGCCGATAGTTGCATGCATTAATCTCACACCCAAACCAGACACGTAAAAAATTCAAACCTGAGCAATGATACGATTTCCAGCTAGGAGTTTAGATTCTCGACTTGATATAGCTGTAATTCCACGATATAGGCAATCAAAGTGCACCTGTCAGTGTGAACTAGAAATGAAGAGTAAAAAACAAATCAAGAAGAAAATAACATCTTCCCACTTTCAAAGTTAACAAACCTGAACAGTTGATCCTTTTTCAGCTATTGGACCTTTGCCCTGAACCAAATCATAGTATTTCAATCCATCAGCTGGATCAAACGTCACAAAAGGAAAACAGATAACTAAGTCAATTTTCTGAATTAGTTTAACTACTCTACTGGTTATAGACATGTTCCTATATGATTTACCAAAAAACAAAAATAGAAAGAGAAGTATTCCCTAGTTCCTAGTTTCTACCTGTATATGCTTTCACTTGAGCAATAAATCATTCAAGCCCACTGAAAGTTGAAACTCTATGGCGAGACGTGGTTAGTAAGTGTAGGGGTTATTTCTCCTTAATTAGATGCATCATTTGACATTGAAAAGTTGACGTCTCTTCAAGTCTCCATGAGAAAAGGTTTCATGGAATTGGAAGATAAAAGCTTGCATTGAATATACCATTAAAATGGAGAAGGATCTGAAGAATACAAGAAAGTACTCATCTATAAATAGGGAAGAAGAGAAATCTTAGAGAAAAGTATGAGAAATCCTCAAGCAATTGAGAGAGAGAGAGAGAGAGACTATTTGTAATTCACCTGTGAGTTTTATAGCAGAGAAATACCCTTGTAATTCCATTTTCACAATCAACATTTATTTATTTATTTGGTGTATACTTTTTTTTTTGAATTCTTCCGACTTTGACTTTGTTGTGCAGAGAGAAACAACCTCAGCATTAACACATCATGCTTTCTTTCCCAACAAAAATATATTAATCAATTAAAGGGGAACTAACGAATGTCCCGTACATAAAACTTGGTGAGTTAAGATTCAGAGTATCAGTGCTTGCAGCAGCAGTGGGAGAATCGGGATGAATTACGCTATGGCAGTCAAATCTCACTCTATGTTATGTCTGTATTATGTAATCTAGGACTAGGATAGATTATGCTTATATCATTTAAAAAAAAAAAAAAGTAAAATTGAAGAAGACAGAGAGCGAATGTGCATTGACATGACAAGAATAAAGTTGAAAGAGGAAGAGGGAATAGATAGATAATAAACTAACGGCTAGTTAGGTATTCATCAATGGGGATGTTCTTCTTGTTGCGTCTGGCCTCCGCTGGCTGAGTTAGGCAAACAAAGCTGAACGGCAACGTTGAAATCAGAAGCGCCGTCGACCTTCTCGAATGAGAAACTGAAAGTGCCACTCCCACTTGTTTGGACGTTCTGCTATTCGGCTTTGAATTCGAAAGCACACCATCTCCAAATTCAACACTATATTTCTTTACCAACAAAGTTAATGAATTGCAAGCGCAACTACAACAAGGGGAAGAAGAAGTCATAGCCAATACTCGCCTCACCACACCACCTCTGCTTTTATTTTATACCCTATCCATTTTACAAAATTACCCATCTACCCTTTCTTTATTTCCCGCTAGTGAAACCAGTTATTTGGCTATGTCATGAAAATAATTTCTTATGTCATGCTTTCTACTTTCTTTCTTTCTTCTTTTTTAATTTTTGTTATGTTGGTGGAATTTAATTTCTGTTTTATAAGATCATGTTACTGCAGTTAGAATTATACAGAAGAATTTATACCATGTGATTGATTACATATGAGTGTATGTATGTGAGCGCAGGCCATGCAATTGTACTGCGTACAAGTACAACTAATATCTAAACTGTGCTACAATTATGAAACGTAGTAGCTAAGTTTGCTAATTCTAGTTGGCATTCGTGATGCACCAACGGGTTGTTGTTATTTACAGCAGCCTCACTTGTAGACAATTTATGTTTCATGAATGCAAACAGTTATGGCCCTGGTTTGGTTACTTCCTTCAACATCTAGACGTAGAGCAGAACACTGTTGTTTCAAATGCAAGTTGCAGCCTCTCCTCAACTTTAATCAACTAATCTTTTTCCACCATGTCATGGTCCAGTTAGAAGGTCACGGTTGTCATAATGGTCATGATCCACGCTGGTCATTATGGTAGCGGTTTGCCCGGGCAATTGTGAACCTGTCGTTCCACTTGGGCGCGGTGAATGATCTGGTGAATCATCTGAGCTGGCACCTAAAGTTCGTGTTTCTTGGCGTCCCTTGGATCCTTTCTTCTTCAGAGCATTCATATGCCACTTTTTCAGTGCCTTCGATGTTTGTTCATCAAATATTGACTTCTTCATGGTTGATCCCATCTGATATATTATCACAACATTCATCATTTTCTTTTTTCATGCATATCATGTTTACTTGTAAAATTTGCCAAGAAAATAAAAAAAAATGTAAGCTCCATTAATTTATTATTCTATCTTTGCTGGTCCTTAGGAATAAAACAGAACCGTATGAAGATGCTAGTAATATCAAATGAATGCACCTGAGTAACAAGTGCATAGAGTGGAAGTGTGATATAACTGCAAACAAATTGAGCTCCTATCCTGCAAAATTGAAGATAAAATTTAATATTTGATGGAGGATTTAGGTTGTAAACACTCTGATGATCTTGCCATGTCAGTTTAACATTGGCAATTCAAGATGCTACTTTAACGGGGAAGGTTATATTGACAAAAAAAATTTCTTACAAACTTACAAACTATACTAAGTCTGACCAGTCACACACTCTTATTGAAGTCTGACCAGTCAGACTTAACATAGTTTGTAAGTTTGTAACAAAAAAAGTTTATCAATATAACACCTCCCTGCTTTAATATATGTGCCTTGTATTATTTAAATAAATCAATGATGAGGAAGAAATTGTAGAGTGGAGTGATTAATGTTGAATAATTACATAAACTTCTAGTACTCCATGTATGCGGTGCAACAGGACAGGACTTACCCAAGAGCAACTCTGATAATCATAAGACTATCATCCTCGTAAAAGCAAGATGCCCAGCCAAATTCATACTGCACCAGAAGGAAGTGTTTTATGGTTCCAGAAGTAAATAAACAAGAAGCAATTAAACAATTTTGAGAAGACAACAATAGGAACTGTTTATTACCCAAGTCCACCAGAAATATGTCAGCTCAAATGCATTCTGGACACGTAAAAACAAAGCATTAAGATGCAACAAATTCTTCAAAGATTCAGGATCTCAAATATACATAGTTGTTAAGGTACTACTAAACTATTAAAAGATGAAGAACTAACTGTCCTCTTGAGAACGACAGTTATCTGTTACGAATAGAAAAAGAATGAATACCTGAAAGAGGACATAATGGATGAGATAAAGAACTAATTGAGGCCATTCAAACCAAAAATGTTTGTCAGAGACTTGCACAAGAGGGATCCCCTGCACTACAGCATGCCTTTCTTGTATGTCAAGTGCCATCCGAGTTATAATTGCTTGAAGCTTTGTTCCAACAGCTAGAATCACCTTCAAGCAATTCAATTATTAGTCTTTATTTCTTCTTTTAACTGTACTGCACACACGCACACCCACATATTGGCTGTGAAGATAGATGCTTACTACTAGTGGAAGAAAAGACACCCAAAACGAAGCATGCCATCCTGAAAAGAAGTTAGCAATCACGTTGTGTATGAATTTGGGTTCCAAATAAGGAAACCAATTGATAATTAGGTCAAAGACAAACCATGGACATTCACAAGCAAGAATAATACCACTGATGCCCAAAGTATTGGACTGCCAAAATCACAAATACCCATTAGAAGAAACTACAGATTAAAAGATTCAGGAATAAAATATAATTTAACAACATGACTTCGATGAAGCTTAATTACTAAATAACACATAAGAGCAAAGTCTCGGCAAATTTGTCAAAATTACCTGATTCCTACAACTACCTTAAAGTCATCTTCTAATGACCTCTTGATATATTTTTGAAAATCAAACTTACTTCCAGGTGCTAAATGGACCTGAAAAAATGAAGCGGAACATTAGTTTATAAAAAAGACAACCAGAACAAGCATAATACTGATATGAAAACCACTTACAGCCACAAATCCATGTCGCATGGTCAGGTAGTCAGCCCTACGAACAGATCTGAAAAATTGTCGAAAGAAGCATACCTGAAAATTGATCAGTAACATATTATTGACCGTGAATTGAAACAAAAACATGAAAAGACTAGTTGTATGTTCATGTAAATCTTTTCTTCCCCATCTATCTCAGTATTGTATATTCCCTGTTTCACTTGTTACACATAACCTAATATTGGTTAAAAGGTTGTCAGTGATAATTGCTTACAAAATAGAAGGAAACCGGTGTTTTAGTCCAGAAACTGTTGTGATCCCTCACAAATGATGTCTCATGAGTAAGCCTGAATCTTCTTGGATCTGAACAGTTATTACATACCCAATTCAGAATTGAAGATGTTAAAGTTATGAGAATAATCTATAACTTGAAGGAAGAAAAATATTATTTATGAGTCATTGCTGTACCATTCAGGGCATCTTGATCGACGACATGGTCCCGTTCCCATTCCTTCCATGCACGAATCTGTCAGAAGGAAGAAAGGTTTTTAATTTATAGAATGAAAAACTGATTTACCTAAACAAATATATAAAATAAATAAAAGCAGAAACAGCTACTTCGAAGAGGGAAAACATTCAGTTTTAACAAAACTGGAAGAGCAACAAGTATCATAAGATCTTCTTCGATATCATCAATTGCATACACTTGCCAACTCTTTAAATGAATAAAGATTTTAATGACTGAATCAATATACCACCAACCTTTGCTCTTCCAAGCGTCATTGTTATGGCACTGTATATCACATGAAAGACAGCCAAGAAGAATATGAAAATGTGCAACTGATGCAACCCATTCACGGATATAAGAGGACCGTACCCCTACACAACAACCAACATCCAATTTCCATGAGCTTTCTAATCAATTTTAACAATTGCCACTACTCTGAAAGTACTTTACTAGAAGTAGAAGTATTAAAATGCTATATATTATATTATAGTAAATTCTAGAAAAGGAAGAGCAATAAAAGAAATGGTTTGAACTTTGTTAAAAATAAAAATGATGAAAAATAACATGATTACCATTTTACAGCCTTTGCCTGCACTATCAGCAGCTAGAAACCTACGTTCATATGATAAAAGCCTACGATGATGTTCACCTTCAGCCTCACCTTCCTCCTTAGGAGGAGGTTCAGGTACAGGGTCGGTTGCATGACCTTCACGCTGGTCCGGGGGAAGACAGGGTAACATTGTATTTGAATATTTCACGGGAATACACACTCTAGAAATGTAGCTTTGACCAAATGTTAAGAGTAAAGAAATAAATCCCAAAACCATAAGCTCTGCAAGCCAACAAAACAAACAAATAATAATTCATTAATAATGACAAGAAGAAGAAGGAGAAAAAAAACATTAGAGGAACAAAGAGTGTTGTGTTTTTGTGTCCGTTGAGGTTACTTACCGGCTTTAATCTTTTCAAGAGCTTCTAGCAAAGCCATCTTTTTTTTATCTTCAAACATCTGAAACCAACATCATCACGTAAATCATCAATCATGAATGCATTAAGAGAATGTACATTATTATTAATTACATGTGTACGTACCTTTGCGAATTTATGTATAACTTTCTCTAAGAGTATAGAAAGGAGAACAATAACAGCGCAAACCGCAGCGACAGCCCATGTAGGTGTCATGTCTAGCTGCCTAACATCACCGCCTCCTCCTCCCGCCATGTTAGAGTCTTGGAAATTGAAAAAAATGTGTGGATGATGATTATGATGATGTGTTTAGAGTAGTGTGAGTTTTGTATTGAAATTGAAAATGAAAAAGAAAGAACATAGAGGAGTGAAATTGTTGGACGGCATGGTCATGGATTCATGTTCAGGGAAAGCATGAAGGAAACTGTTTCCCTATGTTGTATTCTAACCAATGCCAAATGAACGGAGAGGAACAACTGCCGCTTGGACTCTGGATTGCACCCATCTCTACCTATCAACTTATTTCGGATCAAAACTCACTACGACGCACATTTCTTTTTTCCTTGTCTTGGTTTCTTAATAATATAATGACAAATGGCAATAACATTATGTGTACAATCAATAATGCATTGATCATGTAAAAAGTAGACTATAAAGGTACGACCCACATTTCTTTTAACAATGAATGCAACAAAGTTAAAAAAGAAAAAAAAAAAAAAAAAAAACGCCGTTGCCGGGGATCGAACCCGGGTCGTCCGCGTGACAGGCGGAAATACTCACCACTATACTACAACGACTTGATGTTTTGAGTCCAATAAATATTATAATTGAATTTATTAAAACCTAACAACGTTGGTGCTCACTTGTCCTTTCAATTCTTGGACATGAACCAATAAAAGGAAAAAAAAAATACTTCTTTTCCTTTATTTCTCATAAATAAAAATTAGTGCGTAACTTTTTATGTTTCACATCTGGGGGCTATTTGGTATGGGAGAAATTTTTTATTATCCGAAAAGAAAAAATTCTCAAGATATGGTGAACTTTTTTTTTTGCCCAAGTAAGTTACAAAAAAGTGTTTGGTAGGCAAAAAATTTTCTAGAAAAGTTGGGTTATTTTTACTGATACTATATTTGGTTGATGGTGAAATATTGATGGGAACTTGTAGTGAAATTACAAAATTACTCATTATGTTAAAATATTGAAATTACACTGTCATGTTTAAGGCCACAAAATTTTTTATCACATCTGTCGTGTTTCAGACAAGTTGTACTGGAAAGTAGACTTTTTCGGGACATTTTTGTCTACAAATTATAAAACGCATTTCTCCATTCATGGGATTAAAACAATACCATGGTTCAAATGACATTTTTTTTTGCATAGTCTAGTTCAAAACAATTTTCACGGGAAAAATAATATACGAGTGTTTTTTAACTTCAACTCATACCAAACATGATAAACATATTTTACCTACTTCACTTTCCTAAGATTTCTATCATATTCTCGGTATCAAACACTCCCTAAATAAAAATATATGCTGAATATGTCATGTCAAGCAAAATACACAAATATATCATTTTAAGTGAGTACCTAAAATGGACCATTGCAAATAAAGGCTTTCACAAGGTTATACAATGTTATATGTAACAAAAGAGGGTCAATGCTGTATCTAAAAAAAAGTCAATGTGATATTTACGACACGAGCCTCTCCTTCCCAATTGGTATTTTGAAAAAAACTCTTATTGTAAGCTAAAATTGTAACATTATGTTATCAAAAAAAAAAAAAAAAAAAAAAAATTGTAACATTAACAAATCTTTCATCACATGATTAATACATAATTCAGTATAGTAATTGGTTTTTAAAATAGTAAGATATATTTTTGTCCTTAATATATAATAGTCATTTTCATTTTACTCCTTATGCATAAGAGCAATTTTAATTTAATTTTTGTCATTTGTTTGAGCATGTAAAGACCAAATTAAATAGAAAAAAAAGAAAGTGTCGAATATAAAAACAAATAGTACATTTTTTTTAACTTTATACATGATAATACTTTTAATTCAGTTTCTATACTTCACTTTAATTTTTATTTTAGACCCAATATTTCACAACAACCTCTTGCCAAACTCATAATGTTATAATAATAACAAATGACAGGAATGAAGTTAAAAATGATCATACAAAAAATGACTAAATCCAAGAAAACTGTATAAAGATTAAATTAAAAATAAATATCATAGTATGAAGATAAAATATTTTCTTTTGTGATCTTTCAAAATGTTTAGTTTTGTAATTTTGTATCATTTTATCCCATCCTAATTTCCTAATATACCTATATTCATTCATTGGTTTACATATTAAAAGTCCTCTCTCTTCTCCTCAAAGCCTCACATAAATCCCACATACTTTTATGTATGTAGAGGAGATAATTTAATCACCAACATTAAAAACTTAATAAACCCATAAATAAATATCCATGTTCAAATTCAAACTTCAAATCCAATGATAGTGGTCAATAAATTTGTACAGAAAAAGGTTATGATCCATTAGCCTGTACAGATGGAATGACGAATGCACTAAACCACACACGGTGGCAACAAGGAGTAAAAAGACAGACAATTAAAAGCGCAAGATAATATGCTTAGGATTTTTAAAAAGATGAGAAGGAAAAAATTGCCGTGACAAATTAATAGACAAGGACACAGGCAATCTAAGAGAACTTATTTTGCTGGGAATAACCAGGAACAAACACGGGAAGCTGGCCACCTCTATGTGATCTACCTTGCTGCAAATCCCTTAATGTAGAATCTCTATCCGGAATAACAGCTACTGAGCTGTTATTTCTTGTTCCCGTAGTTGGCTGTTCATTCACAACGGGACTGCCAAAAAATATAGAACGACCAGTGTACAATAACTCTGTTCCAGGAATCTGGGAACTGCCATGACCTCTGGAAGAGGACGAGACAAAGCGCCCAGCTGCTTGATCCCAAAATACGGACGATCTTCTATTTTCTGAAACAGCTAAGCTGTTACTTCTCATTGGTACACGTGCAGCATTTTCATGAATTGGATTTATATTCCCTTCACTTTCTTTTGCTGAGGAAGGAGACTGATTTCCCGATGGTTGTTGATACATGGGGTTGAAATGATCTCTGTTCAAACCTGGATTCTGCATTGGTGAAGGAGTTAAGTTGGAGACTTGAGGACTGCTGTAGTTACTCATACTGTGTTGACATGTATCTATATCTTCCTTGCTTGCTTGACTAGGAGGGTATGAGCTCTTGGAAGGAGATAACCTTGATGTCCCTGCTGTATCATATTTGTTATGAAAACCTTGATTGCTAATTGGGCTGCTTCTTCCACTCACATTGCTACTTGATAAATGATCAACATCATATGCATGAGATCGAGAACTAATTGGACGAAGCACAGATGATGATGCTCTAGCTTTAGCTGCTGCCTTAGCCGCCTCATTAGAATCCAATTTTGCAAGTTTCCACGCACTTATTCGCACAGGGCGCTGGTTCAATTTTTTCCCTTTGTCAGGTGGTTGTATTGCATCAGGATCAACAGTGGACGGTAGGCGTCCTGGCTCCAAATGTGGTATAATTTCATCCTGCTTATCCAAGGGGAGACAGTTAATCAACATTCAACAAGAACTTAATTTATTGCAGAAACTAAGCATGCAATGCGCACAATATTTCTAGTGACTATTCTTATTGGGCATGCCTTTAAACAATGCACTACTCATGTCTTAAAACGTTAAATACTTCCACTCTAGCAATTCTTTATTCCTATTAACCATGGAAAATCATACAAGACCTCTTTAGCTTTGCTAATAACCAAAAATAAAGCACACTGTCCCAAAGAACAATGGCTTCCTATAATGAAGAGCGATGGCATTGTGTTTTGCGAATCATTTTGTTCCACTCAATTCTCCTTTCTTATCTATCACCGTAATTGTCTAGATGTAATGTTCAAAGACAGGTGATATATATATTGATGAAGTTACTAGTTCAGGCTATTATACATAGATTATAGTACCTGGTGATCCATAAAGATTCTTGGAGGTGTACACCAAGCACCTTTGTATTGCAAACTCATTCCAACAGAGCTTCTTCCACTTATTGCAGTGACAGCTGAACTAGTAGGAGAAGATGGTAGACTGTGTTGTTCACCCCCATCAACTGAAGGCCCAGGTGGTTCACTTAGAGTTCTCATGGCAACTACATACTCGTAAGTTGTGATACCCTGGTAAAGGAAATGACAGCTTAGAATATACATGTCAGTGGGAGGAAAGGTTCATGAATATACCTTTCGAATCAGGATCATATGGAAAAAGAATAATTCTCCCAAAGGTATAGTTGCAAGGAAAGAAACTGCCGTGCATATAGCCTGTTAAAGGATTGAAAATAGTGTAAAACATAGCATTATATACCCTCAATCTTTTAACAATTACATTTTATCAAAGAAGAGAAAATATAAGAAAGTAATTCTTCAAAAAAATATTTACAATTCAGGAACAATTAACTACTCAACTAGTTAATGATGTTCAAAGATCAGATAATGAGTACTAGAAGAATGAAGATTATGTTTGAATAATTTCCCTCAAACACAACCTATAAAAACTCAAAACAGGATCACTGACCAACAACAAAAGAGCAAATCATTTACAAAAAAAAAGGTTGCATGAGATTCAATTGAATGCTTATAATGTATATATCAAGAAACACAAATTATTACATGTAATAGTGGTGCACTGGTGCGTAATTTTACATTTCAAGCTAAATATGGCCTCCCATCAGTAGTCTGAATCTAGTGTTTTAAATTAAACATGAGATGTGCTTGAAGAAAGAAAGAAGTAGCAGTATATACAAAAAGATTTCATAGTATATACAAAAAGTAACATTAGTGATGGAAAGTTTATTTCAGTTATCCTATATAAAATTGGAGAATAAAACTGAAAGAAAAAGAGAGTGAATGTACCACTATAGTAGCAAATGGGACCCGAGAGAATCCAGCTCCAAGCTTTTCAGCTATTTGATTCTCTGTACCCCTCTTATCAACAAAGCATCTCACAAGCACAGCAATCCCAACTCCACATTCAACTATAAGCTGTAACATGCACTAACAAAAGTAAGAAAATTACACAATTCAAATCTGGAAGGTTCTTTCTATGTAAAACTGAAGAAAAAAAGAGAGGAGGGGCTAGGAAGTAGATTTAGGATACAACTTACCCAAACTAGGCTAACTGCCATAAGGCACACAAATGTGATGTAATTCTTCCTTCCAACGCAATTGTTCAACCACTGAACAAAAAAATGAAAGTATATGATAATGACTTTCTGAAGAATCTAAAAGTTAAGCAAGACAAATAGCAAGTTAAGACAAGTGCACAACTGCACTCAACATCTCAAGTCCCAAACATCTAACCACTATAGTCTACTTCTGGATAATTCCATTGACATAGCCTACAGCCTGAATTGCAACTTGCAAGCATTACAGGAAAAATAACTAGCAAGCATAGGAGACAACATGTTTGTCACAATTCACAAAAATAACTTCAAACAAAGACAACTTGCAAGCATTACCCGGCAATGGTGATCAAATCCATCAACACATTTGTCACAACTTCTACAATGCTTACTGAACTTTCGCACCTGCAAAATATAACAAAGAAAGTGTAAATACATCATGGCTTTTTCCGTTTTCTGGTGAGGCGAGTATATGAAAAAAAAATCTTCAACCAGAGATTTCAAAATACAGAGAAAGCGTGATAAAAGTGGTAATGTGGCATACAATGAACACTACCAAAAAGAAAAATTACTCACTGTTCGTTAAAAGGGGTTATTTATTTATTCTTGAACAAGCATGACAGTTTTACATAAAAGGGTTAAAAACGATTGCTATGACATAACTTTTTCGGCTTTGCCTATACGCATGGCAGTTTTAGGAAGCAAAATTTGGATTCATCAACATAGAATCACACTGAATTGCATTCTACAAAACCCTATCTTTATTTAGAGCTGTTACGGAGAAAAAAAAAATACGATTTTTCTGTAAGCATGCCAACCTCAGCATTGCACAAAGTACAGAACAAAGCATCCTCCTCTCCAGATTGTTGCTGTAGAAAAATATCTTCATTACTTCGGCAATCTTCTCTAACAAGGAAACTACAAAAGAAACATCCAAGTTTGGAGCACCAATTTGAATTATGCCGATCAGACATTCCTTCACCCTTTAGTCCTATCTTGCTGGGTTCTGCATTAGGAGATGCAAATCCTAATAGCATTATAAACTATCAAATTGCACTGAAAATTGCTACTGAAGGCATAGGAGTTCAACAATTGATGCTGTTATAATCCAATACATTCTAAACCAGTATCATTGTCAAACCAGTCAAAAAAATAAAATCATGACAATCTGTCTGTACATGCCATACACGAGGCAACAAAGTGACTATAGAACAAGGAAAACGCTATACCACCTAAAAGAGTGGTACCAAACCAATAATAAAGACATATATAAATCTGATGTAACTGCTTCGGAGTTTGTATGCAGCCAGTAACATCCTAGTCAACAATGTTACAGCTGTATAATTAATTTCCGTTCAGTTCTTTTTTTTTGGTGGTCTAGCACCACTGACAAAACAAAGATTACACTAAATTTCTGGGAACTATCAACAAATATGATTAATCAAGACTTGAAACTGATCTAAAGAGTAAACTTAAAAGTATGAAAATCATATCAATGGATGCCAGTAGCATTCAAAATCCAACCTGCCAACTCTTCATCAAGTTTTGACATATTCTTAGATGTCTTGTCACAATCAATAATTACTCCCAGATCAGCAGGATCGATGGCAGTGCATCGTACATAAAGAATGAATACAGAGAGAGCCTGCAATTTAGAATTTAGGTACAAGTCAATGGATATTCTGGGTTACGTATTTTAGAATGAATATTCCATATGAAACACACAAGGAGGGTAGAGAAGAATCGGAATGTTACTCACTAGTACAGAGTAAACACCAAAAGCCACATATTCATAGATGTCCCCTCCAATAAAAGGAGCAAAGAAGGCATAATATGCAATGGATAGCAAGAAAAAAACTGTGATAGCCACCACCTGTTCACAAATCACAAGCAAAGAGAAAAAAAAAAAAAAAAAAAGGCTTATGAGAATATCAGTTGTCAATGCTATTACAGATTCATGTGAAGTATGAGCCATACCCAACACTTATAAAAAAAATTACCACGTTTACTAAAGAATATGCTGAAGGGTTGAATATCATTGTCATTCGATTTACACGTTGAACATTAAATGATGTGGTTTCTATTCTATGTTTTTTTTTTTTTTTTTGGGTTTAAAATGACCTTCGGCGTTCGCCCAGAAAGTGAAGGTGAAAAAAGGCATGGATACAACAATATATACGACAAGGATGCGTGAGATTCCGCAAAAGACCAGTAATTAATTAGAAAATTAAGCAAAATGATACGCAAATTTATGGAAATTATAACGGCAAAAGCATAGTGAACTGTACAGGAAAGTAACGTACTTCGCTTAAATGGGAGGGACGAGGCGAAAGGAAAAGAAGAAGAAGAAGGAAAAAAAAAAAAGGTAATCGAGAAAGTGAAAAGGTAGAAGATGGAAAATGGAATGAAAGTTGAAAGAAAACCCCCTCATCTGAAACAGAAAGAAAACAAAGTTGCACATGATAATAGCATCATTTGAAAGACTAATATAGTGTGAGAGTGAGATGGAACAATGTACCTGAAAAGTGTGAAAAGGGAGCTCCCATCCATGACGCCTAGCCATGACCAAAGAGCCTCTCAATGGAACACTACCAAATCAGAAACATTACCTCATTTCAAACAACAAAAGCAGTATCTGTTTCAAAGGGACCTAGCCAGTAGCCACTCGGAATGTCTCTGTCTCCTAGTGTTGATGATGAGAGCAACAAGTTTTGAGTTGATTCTGAATTCTTAGGCTAGGGTTTCGAAAGTCAAATTCAACTAAGAGAGAGAGAAAGAGAAAGAGAAAGAGGCTGTGAAGTGTTGTGAAAAGAGCGAAGGAAGAAAGACTAGGGTCACTCCCTCAAACTATTGTATTATTTTATTTTGACGTCCTAGAAAGACGCACCCACCTTATTATTCATTTCACTTTTTCACTCTTAATTACTTCTTCCTCACTTTCCTTAACCCCTATGATAAACGCAAACTCACATAAAATATTCTTCATCCCAAACAGATAAAATCTAAAATAAACAGGAAATTGGAACTAACTCTTTGTGATTAAGTTAATTAACACTAAAATTATAATTTAATGTTAAGGGAATAAGATCCTGTTTGGATCCTCTTATTTTTAAGCTAGAAGCTACTTATAAGCTAAAGCTAAAAAAAAGAGCTTAAAAAAATAAGTTAAAAGCTGTTTGGAAATCACATAAAAGTTTTAATTTAAAAATTACTTAAAAGCACATATTTCAAGAAAATTATCTCTTTCTATTTTTATCACTCTTTATTTTAAAAAAAAGCACACAATTCAAGAAAAACAGATAAGAGCTTAAAAAAAAGCTCCTCCTAGGAGCTTTTAATTTTCAGCTTTTTTCTTCATTATAAAAAAAAGAGTTTTTCGTTATAAGAGCTTTTCCAAAAACCTGTTTGGCCTAGCTTATGCTTATAAGTAGCTTGTAGCTTAAAAAAAAGAGGATTGGCGCTAACAAATATTTTAGAATCCATCATAATGATTTCAAAACGCCAAAAAAACAGTACGTAAATACACACGTAAGCACGGTTTTAAACCAACTGACGTGTCTCGTACATAGTGATTTTTATTAATATTTTAATACATTATTGTTGCTTATTACGTAATAAATAATCCCGTATTGAAATATTAGTAACTATCAACTTGAAATTCTTTTATATCGAAAATGATATTAATTAAACGCAATTAGTAAACCCTACGTTTCTCCTCTCTTTTTTAATGTAATAATTATAATTATTATGTTGTACATTCATTAATTTGAAATATATATTCACAATGTAGAAAAAGTATACTACTTGGCAAAAAAAAAAAGTACGTAAGACTCGTGTGGTAGATAAGCCTTTACTTTTTTTATTTAATTTTTCATTGGTATTAATATAAAATAATATAAAAGTTATGCGTAGTAAATATTGCATATCAAAGCGCTATTGATAGAAAGAAAAAAACATGGAACAACAATATGTTAATTGTTAGGTGTCACATCTTTGTTGGTTAAATTCTTAGAGACAGGACGGTGATATACCAATTTTTAACAAAATAAACCTGTTGACTAAGGTTAATGTTAACCCAAGAATTGTCCGAGTGGATTTGTTGTTTTGCCAAATTTAAGGTTAAACTGTGGTTAAAGTAATTGTCTAGATATTCTATTATTAACTTAATCTAAAATATATCTTAATTTTTAATATAATATAATTTAATTATAGATATGATTTTATTTGTTTAGTTTAGAAGTTAATTCTTTTCATTAGTGAAATGCTTTGATGGCAAGTTTTCTATAATCACTTTAATAATCTACAGAAAGCAATGCCATTTTTTAATTATATATAGTTAATAATTAATTGCTCAATGTGCCGTCCACTTAAAACATAATGATTTGGAAACTTTCTACTAATCATTTTTCCGTTCGACCCATCCCTTCCTATGTCACTTTCATTTGATAGTGACAAACAATCCTGCGAGTAACTGAAGTTTGTTACCAACATCTAATAATATGCCGAAAATGTCTTTCATCATATACGAATAAAAGAATGAAAAGCATACTGATTTGACCTACCAACCGCAATTGGATTATATAAGGCTTTTGCCGATTACTTTTCCTTCAAAGTGTGTGAAATAAAACAAGATTATTTACATAAATAAATTTTAACAACTTTATTCACCTAAAATAGTTAAAAATTGTGAGAATTATTAATTTAAATTCCAGTACGACACGGGAATTATATCTAAAATAGAATAAAAGTGTTTTTTAAAAAACTATTTACTAATAAAACACGGGAAAGAAAAAAATTACTTATAAAGCACAAATGCAATCATCAAAATATAAAATCAGTTAAACAAACCGATTCAGTTTTTAGAATCGAATTAATAGAATCGGTTCAGTAAACCAAACCAAACCAAAGATCCCGTATTAAGGAAAAAATTTAACTAGGAATATTTTTTGGGTTGAATTGAATATGTTTTAAAAAGTAAAACTTCATCCAAATTCAAGTCATCGATCATTCGATCTCATCTATATTCATTATAGTTTTTCTTTTTTTTAAGAGACAATAAATAAAATACATAATAAAAAAATTAATTTAATTTAAAATATTAAATATAAAATGATGATATTAGATACAATAGTATATTTCAAACTAATCTAGAACTAATAAACTTATAAAAAAAATTAAAACGATGAGAGTGAAAGTATATATAAATAAATAAATGCAATAATTTGTATAAACACCAATAAATTACAAATAAAGTGGTAGGAGTAAATAAAAATATAAATATATGAGTAGAGTATGTTATAACCTTTAAAATAAAACCTCTCTACAGACAAATTTATTTCGATTTAAATTACATCGGTTTTTAATATGAAATTGAAAACCGATCTAATTAAATAAATAAAAAAATCATTTTTTTAGAATTTTTTAGATTCTAACTTTTCAGCTCGATTTTTTCTATTTGCATTGAATTATATTGATTTATGTATACCTAGTGTTAACAAAACTGTAAAGATAAATATTGAATTAAGGAATAAAAATAAATAAATTGGGACAACTTTTGTTCGTCACATTCTCGAAAATTAAGTGGGTGTAATTGTTGGACAAGTAACTTCAATATTCAAGAGGGGTGAATTGAGTTTTACAAAATATTTTCGCAATGTGGCTCATTTGATATTAATTTGGATTTTTAAATATATATATATATATATGAATTTAATTCTTTAATCATAAAAATGAAATTAACTCAGTCATGCGTAAAAACTAATGCTAATATAGGTTTTTAATCAGAGGAAAGATATCAATGTAATTTATTAATCTCTCATTTTATATGAAGAAGGACGATTTTACTGATACTTTTCATAGTTGAGAGAATAATAATATGTTTCTTTTTTAATCTTTTGGAAATCCCCCAAAACATACATAATTTGGTCAAAAGCTTATCCCTTAACTCTTTAGCCTAAATATATAATATAGGAGTAGGTTATATTTACCATCAATATTATTATTGTTGGATCAAAATCAAATCAATAACTCTCACTTGATGTTATTTTATAACCGTTGATTTGATTTTGATCAAATAATAACAAAATTAGTGAGAAGAAAAAATATGGTAAATATAACCTTTTATATATATCAACTTTCGCCTTAATTATAATTTAAAATTTTCAAAAGTTAAACCAAATATACATTAAATTAATACTAATATTTTAAGGACAAATTTATGACGACGACACGTGTTTTTGAAGAACTAAACTATGAGTTTACTCTTTATTTTAAAAACTAAATAAAGCTCACACTTGTTTTGAGCAAACTCCGATTTGATCCTAAAAGGATTTCCCAAATATTAATTTGGTTTTCAAAAAATTACTAATTATTTTGGTCATCAAACGGACTTTTTTTGAGCAACAAAATAACAGCAGCTACTGTTCATTCATAGACTAAAATGATCTCATGCGCGCAATGACCAGAAATCATCATTTAAGTGCTAATTGTATGTTGTTAATCTTCCGAGACAAAGTTAATTTCTTAAAAATGATTGCAAGCTTAGAGGTTCACTTTATTTTTCTTATATATAGTCAATTAAAGGCCACAGACCTTCAAAGAAGAAATATAATATTCTAAAAATCTTAGGACTACTTTTTTTATTAGTAAGAGTATGCCTACAAGTTAACATGAAAAAATGATAATGTGTTGGAGTATAGCTTAAATAATTTGGCTAACATGTATAAGTATTTGTGAAAATTAGTTATCTTCGAGTAAGGATTAGTCTCACTCTCCAGACAAGTAGAAAAAAAAAACCTCTTATCCCTAAAATTAGTTATCATGTTTTTATGGTGTTTTGAACACAAAGCTTGGATGATATTCACGGTTAATTCTTTTGACACAGCCAAAAGTCCTTTAAAATTGGGCTTTGTTAAGCCTTAACAAAGGAAAAGTCGATGTTATGAGTTTCTTCATTCAGTGGAGCTATATGCGTTCTAGTTATTTCTTTCAGTTCGTGTGTGGATCCCTCTGTCTCTGATAAGTCAGTATCAGATTGGTATGATCGTGGAGAGTTGATAACGCTTTCTGAGTTAGAGTGGCTAGGCTTGTACTTGTGAAGCAAATGCATTGGTGATGTGCCTTGGCTTGGCGTTGTTTCTCCACTCATGTATCCTGAAGGGACATCTGCCCCTGCTTCCCTTAACTTTCTCTTATCCCTTGCAGCCTTTTGCCATTTCTTAAGTGCCTTTGCAGTTTGCTCCTCAAAGATTGCTTTCTTCATGTGAGATCCCATCTGCAAATTAACGTAGTACATTTACATACATGCACGCCTCTTAGTAATTAAGAGAATAGCAATAGTTCCCCAATTTTAATGGTTAATTTGAAAATGTCCACACCTGTGTTACTAAGGCATAGAGAGGAAACGTAATGTAACTGCATAGGATTTGTAATGCCACCCCAAGTAAAACCCTTGTCAGTATTAGTGGCAAGTTTGCATGGAAGCAAGATTTGATGGTAAACTCGTACTGCACTTTGAAAATATTATTATAAATAATAAATCCTCTGAATTAGAAGGCCTAAAACTTGAAATTTCTCAAAATAAACATCTCGGTCATAAGCTACTTACCCACGTCCACAAAAAATAGGATATTTGGAAGGCATTCTGCAAAAGAATAAATAAATAAGTTTCTAACGAAGATTGAACTACAAACTAATTTTCATCTCACTCACACCCAAAAAAAAAAGGCTACTGTTGATGTTTAATGATTTTATATTATATTTTTTTAATATATTTTCTCACAGAAGTCAATATATTTAATTATTTATAAAACCCGTCATCACTTAATCATATTAACTTATTAAATGAATATCACATTAATAATTTTATCTTATGTTTCTCTACAACACACATGATTACCTGAAATAAGGTAAAATGGATCAAGAAGATAATCCACTCGGGGCGATTAAACCAGAAATACTTGTTGTTTGGTTGTACCACGGGGACTCCTCTAACGATTGTAGTTCGATCTTGGATTTCTTGGGCCATTTCCATGATTATAAGTTCAAGCTTCGTGCCAACTAATAAGAGTATCTGAAAATTGCTAACAGGATTATCACATAAATTTTGAATTACAAGCTGGCCCTATGTTAACATTTTCAAGTTAATAATAACTTTTCAATTTTGAATTTCCTTAATTACCACTAGTGGCGCTACTGACAGCCAGGTGAGCGTGTACCATTCTGCAGCAATGAAGTTAAGTAATAGTAAGCCAACACAGGTAGAGTACTTCAATAACAAAGCGGGTTTGTGCGTTGCATGCGAATTAGAGAGAGATCATGAAGAGAGAATTACTGTAAACGTTCAGAAGCAGAAAGATGAGTGCAGAAGCCCATAATGGAACACTGCAAAAAATAAACAAAAATAAAATTGGCATGTAGAAAAAAAACAGCAAACAAAGGCAAATTGAAGTTTGCCTTAGTGAATTAAGGTCAGATACCTTATACCCACGACTACTTTAAAATCGTCCTCCATTGATCTCTTGATGTATTTCTGGAAGTCAAATTTACTATTGGGACCAAAATGAGCCTGCCATTTGTTCAATTTTTTTGGGTTTCCGTTTAAAACTTACAACAAACTCAATTAAAAGCAGCAACATTTATATATACATATAACTATAAGCTTTGGCACTTACATTAATAAATCCATGCCGCATAGTCATGTAATCCACCTTAGTGACAGACGCAAAGAATTGCCTGAAGAATGCTACCTATAGAAAAATGCAAATAAAGGGATTATTATATAAACCATGCATTCTGTTTTTCTTCTTGACAAATTGTTCAGGTGGAAACTCACTATCCATCGAATTCCCGGCATCCTAGACAAACCAGAGTGACGCCTAACAAATGATGTTTGATGCGCAAACCTGAACCTTGCAGGATCTGCACCAATGGGATAATGATAATAATAATAACTGAGGTCCATCATATCTTATATTCATATGTAAACGACCCGATTCAAATCACTTGTTTCTTTTTATCAATAAAAAATAATATTTCAGCAAAACAAATTTCTCTATTCTTAAATCGCAATACTTTATCTCTTAATTATTAGTTTATTTTCTTTACTGAAGTACCATATTTTTAATTTAAAAAACAGAAAAAAAAAAGATGTGAAAGTCATGAGTGATTTGATTCCATAATAGCATCCCAGAAACAACTCTACAAGAATTACCATTTGTAAATTGATACTCTAGGGAGGATGTTTCCGCTTCCCAAGCCTTCCATTTCTTCATCTGTCAAGCAACGACATTTTTATTCTTATTTTTGGTAAAAAGGAAAGTTAAGCAACCAACCACAAATTATCAAGTCTCTAGGCAATTTTCCTTTTCCCCTTATTTGGGACATGCCTAACCCATATTGAGAGCCACTATGCCCCGCAAGTATGTCAACAACTAGTAATTTATAATTGACAGTGACTTCAAGTGCTTACATTTCTAATATAGAAAATAAGGGACAGGATCCGTTTACAAATTTTTTTTGCAATTACACTAATGTAGGACCGGTCGTACACTGTGTGATTAATGTAGGACCGGTCCTACATAGTGTAGTTTGTAAACAAAAAAATTTGTAAATATAACCTGCCCCAGAAAATAAAATCCTGAATATTTTGCATTTTCTTCAAATTTCATTTGATATAAATAAAATGAATAAATCTTACTTGGGAAATGTTATATACGCCGAAAAAGATGTCTGAATGATTTGGAGCTAGGGGTATAAATAGGTTAGGCTTTGCTTAAATAGGTCAAGTTTATATAAAAAAACTTATATGTCTAGACTGACCTATTAACCTGTATACGTCCAAATTATAAGTTTGACCTGACCTATATTTAAAAAATAAAAGTCTTGTCCTACGTTTGTTAACCTGTTTAAACCTATTAAACATTACATAATTAAAAAATAACTAAAATGATATTATTTTATTATTCTAAATTATTAAATAATAATTTTATTTAAAATAAATAGTATGATATAGGCCAGCCTGTAGGTTTATATGCTCGATATGTACAAAAAAATCTATGATTTGCCTTCTAAATAGATTTTTTTAAAAGTATAAGCCTATTTTAATTAATTATTTATAATAAGTTAAGCCTGACCTAAAATAGATTAGACTGTAGTTACCTGTAAACCAACCTGACAGATTTACACTCCTATATTTGAGGTTTAGCGGGCACAATAATTTTTGTGTTTAACTTTTTAACATATATTTTTTATGGGTCTATGTTATTTCAGCTTTCAGGAATTGCATGTGGTATGTGTTCTGCAGTGTTACTCATGCCCACTCCATTATCAGAATTATTTTTTTTATAGAATACCCTTAATATTATTGTAATAATTAATTAAAAATCTTAATTTTAAATTTATAAATTGAGGACTTAAAACTTTGTTTAAATTTGAGCAAGGTTATCTGTTGCAGATATAATTCACGAAAAAGTAATGAGGAGGTTTATAACCAATCACTATTGGAAAGAAAAAAATTTGTATGATAAGAATTAAAAATTGTTTGAGAATTCACAAAAGCAATAAAAGCCCGCCACCTTGGATTTGTATGAGAATTCATGAAAAATATTTCGCTATGATCAGCATTTTTCTTTGAATTTACATTTTATTATCTTTAAGAAAAAAAATTCACAATTAACAAATTAGAATATTAATCATATTTATGCTGATTAATAAACATGATAAAAAAATCTTATATTTAGAGAAGTGAACTTACTTTTGCTCGGGCTAATACCATAGTCATGACGCTGTAGAAAATGTGAAAAACAGCGAGGACGAATATAAATATATGCAATTGGTGCACCCCAGACTCAGAGACTAAAGGCACTTTACCCTGATTTGCCGAAAAAGAGAAAGGATACACATATAAGAGAGTAAACTAATATTGAATATAAATGTGTGTGTGTATATATATATATATATATGGGTTTTCATTTTATCCTTTAACATAACATAACAAACTTTCCTACACTCACAACATTTTGTGGGGCCCACACTTTTTAAAACAAAAAAATAAATAAAAAATTATGGCACGCAAAACGAATCTCTATAACATTACACAATCATTTTTCCTACAACATAACTCTTATAAAACCCTATATATATATATATATATATGGGGTAAACATTTCTACAACAACTTTAAATAAACTTATCTACAGCTTCCATTTTTAACTATATTTTCCCGGGAGAATATAGTTGCTCTTTTCTCTCTCTTCACGTCAGCAAAAAAGTTCTGAAAAGTAATTGAAGAGAGAGAAAAAAGAGCAACTTTAACGTTATAACTATATTCTTCCGGGAGAATATAGTTAAAAATGACAGCGGTAGATAAGCTTATCTAAAGTTGTTGTAGAAATACTTTTGCATATATATATATATATATATATAAAACAACGGGAAGGGGCATGAGAGATGATGATGATTGAGGAGATGCATATATTTATGTGAAATTGTGTTTTATTATCTCCCTCACTTTTTTAGAGCAATAGTCATCACCAGAGGCAGCTGCCAAAACTCGACGCCATTCCACATTCTCCTCAAAAGAAAGTAACATCCTCTTGTCATTTGACACTTTCACCTTCTTGCATGGAAGCATGGTGTCACCAACTTTCTCAGGGACGCATATCTTTGCAATATATTTTGTACCAAAAGTAATTAACAGGGAAATGAATCCTAATATCATTAATTCTGCAAACAAAAATATAAATACATATCATATCAATTATAATTTATAAGGGAGATAAAACAAGGAGCTTTAAAACTAAAAATCTTCGGTATCAAACTAATTTTACTTAATTACCCGCTTTGATTTTCTCCAAGGCTTCGCTCATGGCCTTCTTTTGTCGTTTTTGAAACCACTAAAGAAAGGGAGAGGGTGAATGTAGAATTTAGTTAAAGTCGATATATCTAGGTACTAATTTAGATTAAAAGTTAAAACCAAAAGATATATGAATGAACTCTATCTACCTTTCCAAGTGAATTGATTCCGTGTTCAATTAATATAGAGAAGATGACGAACACTGTGCAGACTACAGCCACAGCCCATGTTGGTGTTTCTTGTAAGGTTCTTTCTCCAGAAGCTGCACCAGCCATATTTACTCCCTTCTATGAAACAATTAGTTTAAATGAGTTAAGCATGCTACATACATACTGTAACATACATATATATACACGCGGTTCGAGATTTTTGTCATATGCTTCCAGGTTTATCCGCCGAGACTGTAATGGTATCACTGTGATAGGAACCACGCACCTTCTTAGAAAACAAGACATAATTATTAAACATATAATAATAATAATGTTTAAGCCGGCCACTGGAAGATTTGCATGTATATGTTTTTTTTTATCGTTTTATATAATTTTTTATTAAGAAAAAACGGAGTTTATGGGTTCAGGCCTATATAATATTGCTACTAATTGAATTTTTTTTTTTTAAAAAAGTTAAATTGCGTAATTATCACATATTCTTAATCCCAGCCGCTTGTGTATAATATAATATGTTATATAAATTAATTATTATCATAGCTGACCAGGCAAGTTTTGGTAATCCAACTAGTTAGTTAATCATTTAGTTCGTAGCATGCCTTGTTGTTTACTTGTTTGTACTAGTATGCATGGAGTCCTCATTGTGACTCTTAGATGGTCGATCGTCGATGATGGCTGAATAGGAATCGCAGCTAAAAGAGAATTTTGGAGGTGACTTATTCTTGAATGTGCCATTTGCCATAATTAATAAAATAATAAATCAGCTCAGAGTGCGTTCAAACTGCTAAGCGTGTTCGCTTGTTCTGTTCGATTTGACTAATTCAACAATCATCAGTATGGTGGTGTTCACTTGCTTTGTACATCAATTTGATTTGTTCAAAGCAATCGATAAAATTTAAAAGCCGGAGACACAATTGACAAATTTGAGGTATTCATTAATTGTCTAATGTCTGTGACCCCTCGAGTGTGGCCCCTTTTCTTAAATGTTTACTTAGACATATTGACATATGCATCATATGACGGAATGAGATTTGGCCCAACCCAAATCCAATTAAAAACTAAAGCCACTTCACTCGCTAAAAAAGTGCAAATTATTCGCCATTATTATTACAGCTCTGCCTCAATTTTCGTCAGAGTTGGTAGAGGTGCAGGTTTGATTTTATCCTTGTACAGTTGGTGTATATAAAATGTGTCTCCCGAAGAATATTTTATGGAGGGTAAAGTATGTTGATATAGAAGGTATTTATAGTGACAATGGTAGAGACCAAGGTATTAGTGAATCTTCTTATGGTGTGCATAAAGGGAGGTGTGTGTGGAAGTGGCTAGGATAACTCTTAATGGAAGAGAAGAAGCCCCCTCCTCAATAAGAGAGGGGATATTTAGAGTGAGATCTCTAGTCAACCTAATCAGCCTAGCCTTTTCAAGCTGGGCGTACTGAACATGCGCAGTAATGTGCATGAAGAAGAATGAGAATCCTATTCTGCCTTTTAGAAATGCGTTTTTTAGGTTGGACCCAGTGATTGGACCTATATAAGTGGACTATCCAGAACAATCTTCATAAGTCATAACCGCTGACAATATCTAATGAAGAACTCATTATTTTTATAAAACATTTTTTAATTATTAAATGAATAGATATAGAAAAATTAGAGCGTTCTAACATTTCGAATTTTATATCATATTAATTTCCTTATTTGGAAAAAAATTAAACTTTTGTATCACAATAAAAAAAAACAAAAAAACAAAAAACTTATTCTAGGAGTATTACAGAAATTTTAATTATTACCAGTATAATGGCTTAGAGTAGGATAAGAAAATTCATTACTGTGGTGTGGATATTAGGAATCACGTTGAGAGCAATGTTATTAAATTCGAATCGGTGATCAATTCGATCAGGTACTGGATTAGTGGGTCATTAGTTCAATTGTATGAACCGGATATATATATATAAATTTATATTTTATACTTAATTATATAATAACTATTTTAAATGGTGCAAGTGAACCAAGAACCAAATGTAGCTTAGTGATAAATACTACAATTTATATTTTCACAACAAGGATTCGATTCCCACTAGATGTAATTTTTAAATAATTCTATTAAATGATATGATATATATATATATATATATATATATATATATATATGGGAAAAATGTTTCTGCAGTTACTGCAGATAACTTATCTGCATTTATACCCAAAACGACGTCGTTTTGGTATTGAAATCTTAGAAAATTATAATATAAAGACTATTATAACCCTGAAATAAATTAAAATTACAAAAATATCATGATTTCTGCCCTAAAACGACGTCGTATTGGGCTTACTGCAGATAAGTTATCTGCAGTAACTGTAGAAAAAGCGAACTCTATATATATATATATATATATATATATATATATTAAATGATGCATATTAACTAACAAACAAATTCAGCTCACTGGTAAGTTATTGTTAGGCATCCTCAAGATTTGAGTTTGAATCCCAGCGGCTACAACATTGAAAATATTTTTTCCAAAACCGATTCGACGGTTAGTACCAGTCGGGCTGATTTTATCAACACTGGTTGAGAGGTAGTGTAAAGAATTACTTTAGCCTAAGATTTTAATATATTGGGTGAAGATTTTTTTTAATAATTTATATTATTCTTTAAAATATCCCCTCGTACAAAAGCCAAACTTGAAACGTACATATTGTACATTTTTTTTAACCTTGTGCTTATTTAATTTCATTAAAAAATAGGAGAAGATGAGTACTAAACTCGTGACTTTATAATCACTTAAGCTCTGATATCATATAAAAAATTAACTCCATAAAAAATCTTAAGATATTGGGTGAGAACGTTTTTTAATAATTTATATATTCTCTAATAGATAGTCCCACTATGATGTTGATTTACCTAACATGGTTATCTCTAGTAGAAGATACATATAGTTTAAAAAAAAATCATTTCTAAATAAATAAATCTTTAATATATTTTACATTTTAAGATATTAAATATAATTTTTAAGAGTTTTATGTTTATCATTTAACATAATATAACTTCATTTTCCTACACACACATTAAAGAGGTGGGTCCACATGTTTTTCTTTCTCTTTCATCATTCCACTTTCTCTCTCCTTTTTTATGTGAGAGTTGGAAACAACATCTATATTATGTTACATAACACTAATAAAACCCGACTTTTAATGTAGATATTTGCTATTAGTCCTTAAAACATTATTTTAGAAGATATATCAAAACTCATATCTAACAATTTTAAACAAAAAAAGAAAAAGACTATTCCAATCACTGTTGTAAAACTCGGTCCGACCCGGGACCCGGTGAACCGATCATTGGACCGGTTCGGGTCAAGTATTGGACCGGTCATGCATCGACCCAGTCAAAATCCGGCCAAACCCGGTGACCCGGTCGAGTTTATTTAAAAAAAAAAACTAAAAAACTAAAATTGTTTCTATCTTGTGAGAAAAAAATATTGAACTCATTTTAAAAAAAAAATTATAATTTTATTTGCTGGTACACTCTTCTACAATGACCTCAAATTTCACCTTTTAATACTGAAGCAATTTGATGAATAATAAATTAAGAGAATGTGACATATGCCATTTTAATGTAGTTGAATTTCAAAAATATAAGTTCAATGTTTATCGAAAAGTATGTTTACGGAGATTCTGAGTTGCAATATAAATTGATATAGTAATGACATGCATTTTTATTTATTTATGTTTCATGTTTTTGAGTTTATTTAGTAAACTTTTTAAATTCATTTTAGATATGGAGAATATAATTGAATTTATATGTCCATATTTATATATATTTTTATATATATTCGGGTCAACCGGTCCGACCAGTAACCCACCAATCCGATCAATGACCCGATAATCCAATGTCCCGACCAGATCGATGTCCGGGTCGAGTTTAACAAAACTGATTTCAATTACATAATTAATTGTGTTCACTTCAAAATTGAGAATGAGTGAATAACTCATTGCTCCGTTCCATACTTCCACTTGAGAACATGCAGTACAAGAGTAATTTTTTTTTTTTTATATATATATAAATAAAAATATCTCCGCATATGATACGATGCTCTAATATTTACTCGAGATTGGGTATATCCGCATCTGTCCTAACGCCCGGTAGTGGTAGCTGCAGACAAAACTATAAAGCATAGTAGAAGAGGGAGAAAAAAAGAAAAAAGAAAAAAAAGAATTATCTTACCAGTTGTTACAGTGAAGCTTAGATATCATCGAACCCATAGTTTTCAAGTCATAAATAATCACACACACACACACACTCACACCATTCTCAATTCCATCTCCCATTCATCATCTCCGACTATGGCTGCTGTTTCCACTTCTTTCATTCTAACCAATTCTGGTAACCTCTCTCCGATTCTTTACAGCTTAACTTTTTCTCATTCTCTTTCTTTTCTTTTTCAAGATTCCTCAAAAATTACTGGCTCTATCTTTTTTTTTCTTTGACTATATTCTTTTAATTTCATTGCAAATTTTTCTTTATTTTTAAATTTTTTTATGGATTGATTTGAAAGATGATAGCATAGGCGCATTCCCCTGATTTTAATTAATCCATGTTTTTCTTCTTTTTGGTTTTTAATTTGTACGTAACCTAGGGTTTTTAAAATTATGGATATGTGACTGAACGATATCAGCAGGATGAGAATTTACGCGTCTCAGAAACGTTAATTTCTTTGGAATTGGGATAGTTTCCCCTTAACCTTTCACGATTGATTGAGTGATTAGCACCAGAGATTGCTCAACGCTGTATGATCCATTGGAAATACTCATTTTTAGGAATTAATGTTCCTTCGTTTCCATTTATAGGAGGTTTTTCTTGGATTTCTGCATGCCACAAAGACATAACAGTCATCGGATTCAAGATCATCTATTCATGTGTTGTAGTTATAAAACATTCTTTACCTAATATCAAGATTTCGTATGTACTTGTTTCATGCAATGTTGGCATATAAGTGGTGCTTTGCCACTTTTACTCCCCTTTCTTTATTTTTCTTTTGCCCAAAAGAGCATATCTCGTTTTCTAGCTTCTCTACTCTAGTGAAAACTTTTGCTTGAATATTTTATTTTCAAACAATATTTCTTTTATCTAACTGAGCATCTCGTTTTCTAACTAATCTACTGTTGCAAAAACTCTTGCTAGCATCATCTCAGGTGAAGATCAAACAATCCAGCTTGTCACTGATTCTAAATCGTCAAGGGAGAATGCAACTATCTTCACCCAGAAGGCCTCTAACGATTCAAGCTACGTACAGGTATTCTCGTAGTTGTGATTTTGTTATTAAGCTCTTTGTAGTTTGTCTTCATGAGTACATTGAATTAGTTGCAAGGTGATAATATGTGTATAGCTGCTGATAAGGGTCTTAAAATGTTAGTTGTTACATCAGGGCTGCTTCTGTGTTCCACTGTTGTGCCACAACTTTCTCTTTTAGACATTTCAGTATTGATTAACTCTGAGCGGAGAAATATTTTATCCTTATTATTTGGAGGGAACGGGTGGGAGAAAGATGAAAACTTGGTAAAGAAACTTTTTAGAAATTTTTGATATCACTTACATTTTTACTTGGATAAATGCATATTTGATCATGAGTATTATTTTAAGAATTTGGCTCCTCAAACGGGTGGAGCATTTTAGAGGGAAAAGTGGAAGAATCATTGGGTTTAGATTGTACTAACATACATGCTCATGTAATTACAAATTATAAAGTTGTTAAAATCTATACTCCCTTGATTTTCCAATCAACTCTTATAATTTTACACTTCCCCCTCTAAAGTGCATTCCTTACTATAGAGGAGCCAAATCTTTACTTTAAATATTTATACACATAGTGGAAAGTAGTTTTTTTCAAAATTACTATTGATCAATAGATGCCTTCAAACTGCCATCACAAATAATAATCATAATATGGAGAGGACCACACAACTGACACAAGGAAGAAACAGAGAACACCAAATATGCTTGAATTTGAAACATATTTTGATTATGGCAGTTTGTAATGTGTTTAGCTAAATGAATAGATGTTATTAATTTGGATTCTTGCTTGTTCTGGAACTGCAGTGATGGCGGAAGGCCAAGCAGTGCTGGCGTCTTTGTTGGTGGCTTTCTCTTGGGAGGATTAATAGTTGGCACTCTTGGCTGCGTGTATGCACCTCAGGTAGTATTTGTTACTGTAAAAAACTTTCCAAGCGCTAGATGTTGATGTTTAATGGGATCCATTCAGATATTTGTCTTACACTTAAAGTCATCAAATGCATGGCTATATATGGAAATTTAATTGTTTAACCCCTCTTACTCATTCAGTCAACAAAAAACTATATATGCAACATAATTTTAAGTAGATGGCATTACATATCTTTAAAATCTTTAAGATAGCAGGATGTGCATTATAATTTTTCTTGTAAACTTTATATCTTGCAAACCAGATTGCTTGAGTATTATTTTCTATTTTATTCTTCCACAGATAAGCAAAGCACTAGCTGGAGCTGACCGGAAGGAGTTAATGAGAAAATTGCCAAAATTTATATACGACGAAGAGAAGGCTTTAGAGGTGAGCAGTTGCTTGCTCTATATACCATCCTTCATGTTTGTCTTATAAAAGGAATTTGCCATGGTTGATCTTGCTGTCTCCTTTTGCTTGGAGGGGCTGTAATTGCTGTTGGGTGTATAAGCGCAATTGCGCTAGCATAAATGGGTGATTAGTTTAAAAGTCTTATTATTTTGATGCACTTAGAATTGACTTATGTGTGCCTGTGTCATTTTTGGGTGTTTATGCTTTTATTTTTCTTTTTTTTAATTTCAGTGGTATTTTCTTAATTTTTTGTTTTTCATTTTAATTGCATTTTTGAATCAATTGATATCATATAAAAGGATGTTTAGGACTCCAATTGTGGTGACTGAATATACTATTATTTCCATGCGTTGGGCATCATTTTATTTCAACTTATTTACCAAATTTATATAATGCTCGTGGGAGGCCCTCGTATTGCACTTGTTCTTCTCGCTGCAACATTGATGGTTGTAAGTGTAGATATTTCCTTTAATGGCTCACAAAATTTGCTTTGCTTGAGTTGCAGAAAACCCGGAAAGTACTGGCTCTGAAGATTGAACAACTGAATGCTGCCATAGATGATGTTTCTGCTCAGCTACGGTCAGAGGAAACCCCAAATGGAGTAGCTGTGAACTCTGATGAAATTGAAGCTGCTACATGAGAATGCTGCAGTGATGTCATGGTACAATTGGCCATTTCTCTCTGTTAACTAAAAATGTCGTTGGTACAAAATGTATTTGATTTCATGTAATATCTTTCCATTTCTTCTTAGTAATAAACAAAGTGTTTTCTGTGGGTAAATAGTCTGTTTCTCTTTTACGGCTGATTTCTTATGAGTTATCAGCTATTTCATTTTGGCGAGAGCCTGCCATGACAGGCATGATACTGAAAATTCTGTTAGTTTATGGTTTATGGTTTGTATTGTTTAAATAAGCAGTGATTGATGATTGCTCTAGATAGTGAACATCACTTTGGATTCTCCATACCAGGATGTTGTCAATTTTGTCACTTATGCAGCAAACGTGAAATGGGTGATAACTGCGATCCATATTTTATGGTGTTAGTCGTGTGCAGACAATAACTAAAAAAAAAAAAAAAACCTATATGTTCGGGGCGCAGTCCTTAGCGAGAGGTTTGATAATGTATTTTTATATTATTTAATGAAATTGTCATCTAAATTATAAATTCATTTCTCATGGGAAAAAATATCCCCACCTTTTGAAAGCCACTCAAATGTCTAAAAAGGATTAATTTGAATTTATCCGGGCACTAATTTTTTTATAATATTTTTATATTATTAAAAAATTTGACATCTAACTTATAAATATTTCTCAAAGGAAAATGAACGGGGCATGAAGATTCCTATTACAAATTTATATACTAATTATTATGAGCGTATCTCATAAGTTTCTTTAATATTCGACATATTTTAGCTTCTTTTTTTTTTTATGTTTACAATAGATTTATTACATATTTTCTTTCTCGTTATAAAGAATAAAGATTATACTCCCTCTGCCCATATTATATGTCTTTTAGGTGAAAAAATTTGGTCCATTTTAAGTAATTTCTTCACATACTAATTAAACTAATTACAATTTTCAAACTCTATCCTTATGCTTTAAGTATCTTATTTAGTCCTGAATATTCGTGGATTGCTGTGAAAATTGCTGAAAGTATCTAATAGAGTATAGTAAATTAATTGCTGAAAATTGAGTGAGGATAGTTTAGTGAAAAAACTTTCATGACATAGTAGAGTTTGTATAAGTAATTGATGAAAATTAAGGAAGGATAGTTTGATGATAAAAATTCATAATTACAGCCTGGTTCCCTGTTTTTAATTCTCGTATCTTGTTCCAAAATGACGCATGATATATGTTCGATCCAAGATGGTGGACTAAGAATTTGTTATATGGTTCAAGATGGAATAATCTACTATAGATAGAATCAGGCCTCATTGAGCGGGGTGCTTAATAGGGTGAGCTCCGTTGTGTATTATGATGGAACAGATAGGGGGAGTATACTGACGGGCAGCACTTTCAGAAGTGTCATATTGTCATATATATAATTACATGTGCAAATGTCTCTGTGTGTAATGCCCGTGGATCCTATGTCAATTGTGGGAGTGATCCATGTCAGTCATAGTGGGATAGAATAAAAGAGAATGTTTAGTGATAGAAATATTTTATGCTATAATGCAACTATGAATAACCTGCATGATGAGCTCAAAACGTCTGTCCACAACAATATAAAATAGAGAATAAGCTAGCATTAATGATGATGACGCTGTGCTTTTATTTTTCAATTTATTTTATAATAAACTTATTTTAATTTAAGGAAATAAAATAACAATTTTCTTTATCTTTTTAAAGCTCTGTATTTTTTAACATTTCAAACTTACTATAATTAAAAAAAAATATTATTGTACTGGGCATATCGTTCCTTCTCTTCTGATTGTTTTATAATCCATCTTTGTAAATTAAATGATAATTTACTTTCTTGATCATGGTTACATTTCTTATTATATGCTTCTTAGAAAATATATATTCTATTTTTCATTTAAAAAAAATTCTTTATTTGAAGTTAATTATGCAAATCTTTTTATAATTTTAAATATATTTTTTAATATATACTTTTAGATTTTACTTAAATGTAATTTTAAATATTTTTATATTTTATCTAAATTTAAAATATCCGTAAATTAACACTTACTAGTTACTAGTTTAAATATATCATCCAAACGGACGGATGAAATAGTAGTCTTTGTGGGTTGTGGCATTGACATTTCTTTTTTCTTTTCTTTTTCTTTTTTGGAGAAAAAAAAAGAAAATCAAAACATTATAGTATGAACAAAGGGACACAGCCGGGAAATTAGTAAACGGCCATAATATTAATATGTGGCTCAAAATATGAAGTCCAATTATTAAAAAACATTGATATCCAAACATTATCTTATCTTATAGATTTTCTTACAACATATTCACCACTCGTTTCTGTTATTCACCACCGACCATAATTTTCTTGCAATCAACTATAGAAAAATCTGTTAAACAATAAAACAAGAGGAGGAGGAAAGACAACTATCAATTGTGCACATAATACACAAAAGGAGTTGTTACACAGCTTTGTTGCAGCCATGGCCACCCATGCAGCTCTAGCTTCTACAAGGATTCCCACAAACACGAGGCTTCCATCCAAGACCTCTCACTCTTTCCCAACCCAATGCTCCTCAAAGGTTCCACTTTGTTTATTTCTTGCACAATGGTTGGTTTGTTTCTTCAACTTACAAGTGTCTTACTTCACTTAACTTTGTTTGTGCAGAGACTTGAGGTTACTGAATTCTCTGGGCTAAAATCCAGTTCATGCGTGACCTATGCCAATAATGCTAGAGAGTCTTCCTTTTTTGATGTCGTAGCTGCTCAACTCACCACCAAGGTTAATTTCTTAGTTATAGATATAGATATATATATCAGCTTTTATTTTCTTTATGATGTTCTATATTGGGAAATCTCAATCAGCCCAATATATTTACACTTCAACTGAATTAGCATACCGATATACCCTTCCTCTAGAAAATGTTAGATTCATAACATATTTGCTACGAAACCATGAAAAATGCAGTAGCTTGATGCCATAACAAATAATTGACATTTTTTTTTATATCTGGGATTAAATAAGTTCAATTTTTAATGTAAGGCTTTTCTTTTTCTTTTTTTAATTAAAATCAGACCATTGGATCAACTCCAGTGAGGGGAGAAACAGTGGCCAAGTTGAAGGTAGCAATCAATGGTTTTGGACGCATTGGTAGAAATTTCCTCCGCTGCTGGCACGGCCGAAAAGACTCACCCCTTGATGTCATTGTTGTCAATGACAGCGGTGGTGTCAAGAATGTAAGTTCTTAAAATGCCATTGCCCTTTTAATTAGTTTCAGTGAATGGAAAGGTAGTGACTTACTTCTTCACATAACCAGGCTTCGCACTTGCTGAAATATGATTCCATGCTGGGAACTTTTAAAGCAGATGTCAAAATACTAAATGATGAGACCATAACCGTGGATGGTAAGCCCATCAAGGTTGTCTCAAACAGAGATCCTCTTCAGCTTCCTTGGACTGAGTTAGGGATTGACATTGTTATTGAGGTAAGTCCTTGCTACTTGATTCATTTCAAACATCATCCACCAAAGGCCAGAGAATGAAAATACAAGCACTATGATGGCTTTGGGAAGTTGAAAAATAAAATAAATAAATTGAATAACCTTATATCCTGCTAGCCAATGGAGTGAAAATTTCCCAACATTGTTTATTAGTTGCAGAGCTTTTAAAAAGAATGAATGATTTTTTGTTCAGGGAACAGGAGTCTTTGTGGATGGACCTGGCGCGGGCAAACACATCCAAGCAGGTGCCAAAAAAGTTATTATCACTGCTCCTGCAAAGGGTGCGGATATTCCAACTTATGTTGTTGGAGTAAATGAACAGGACTACAATCATGAGGTGTCTAACATTATAAGGTTGGTGGTAACTGATGCTGTGTTCTGTGTGTGTGTTTTTTTGGCTGAGATTAATGTTTCAGTTGTTGACCTTGTTGTGAATGTTGAGATTGTGAAGTTTATTAAATCTAAAAATGTCAATGCAGCATTGTGTTTTGTATTAATTGATTATTTGTATAATCATATCCCATCCCTTTAATATACATATTCCGTGGTTGAATTTCTTCTTCTTTCTTTTGTTTCTTTAATGTACAGCAACGCTTCTTGCACCACAAACTGTCTTGCTCCCTTTGTGAAGATCTTGGATGAAGAGTTTGGTAAGCAAACACTCAGAGACTCATCATACTTGGTAGTTAATATGGAAGAGCAATATTCCAAGCTCTAAGTCACACTTCCTTCCCTTTGGTCTATATTTCCAGGAATTGTGAAGGGAACCATGACAACTACACATTCCTACACAGGAGACCAGGTACAACATCATCAGCCACTAGTTTAGTTGGAATTTAACATTATGTGTGATCAAATATCTCTTGTAGTGTTGTTTACCAAATCATGTATTAATTAATCTTCCAACTGAAAATGGATAAGAAGTTATAGCAAGGATTGTGCTTCTGTAGAGGCTTTTGGATGCTTCACATCGGGACTTGAGAAGAGCCAGGGCTGCAGCACTGAACATTGTCCCAACCAGCACTGGAGCAGCCAAGGCCGTGTCTCTAGTGCTGCCAAATTTGAAGGGAAAGCTTAATGGAATTGCACTCCGTGTGCCTACACCGAATGTTTCAGTTGTTGACCTTGTTGTGAATGTTGAGAAGAAGGGTATTACAGCTGAAGATGTCAATGGAGCATTCAGAAAGGCAGCTGAAGGGCCACTGAAAGGTGTATTGGATGTGTGTGATGTTCCACTTGTTTCTGTGGACTTCAAGTGCACTGATGTTTCTTCTACTATTGACTCCTCCCTCACTATGGTCATGGGAGATGATATGGTCAAGGTGGTTGCTTGGTATGACAATGAATGGGGTTACAGGTTAGCCCACTCTCCATATATATAATATAATCAAGTTTCTTCTCATTCTCACTCACTCATTTTCATGCCTCTTTTTATTAGTTGTCATGTGTACATCTCAGTGAAGTGATTATTAATAAGTTGAAGCTGGAGCAGTTGACTTTTTATGTACTTATAATAATGGATCAAGTTATTGATAAGATAATTACAATTTTGGTGATTGCAGCCAGAGAGTGGTGGATTTGGCACATCTTGTAGCAAGCAAGTGGCCAGGCACACCTGCTGCGGGGAGCGGAGATCCGTTGGAGGATTTCTGCAAAACAAACCCAGCTGATGAGGAATGCAAAGTTTATGAATAGACGAAGAGAGCCTTTTCTGATTTGATTACCACTACTATCAAGCCATTTATTTAGCCTTTTGTTAAGGTATATGATATGAGAAAGATGAAGAAAATGTTCAGACAGACCATGGTGTTATGATGTCTGAGGGATGATCTTCCAAGTTTAAATTTACCTGCAGCCAATAATGAGTTTTGGCGTAACACAAATTCATAAATATCGTGATATAAATTGATATTGCATTTCTGATATCTATCTGATTTACAATTCTTCGATATGATTAAGCCTTGCCAAGTGAATTTGATACAGGAAACCAGAGTACATCTTTGGCTATTAGCTCTAGGGGAAAACTACACATAACATCATCACTCACCCTTGCACAGTATGAGCCAAAGTAAAACTAGTCAAGTACATATTCAAAAGTTTTACTGGGAAAACAAATTGGGTCAGCCAAGCCCATCCATCCGGAGCAACACCGGCCCGTTGCTGGCTTAGGCTGCTGATTCGATACCCCATAAAAACTTGGTAGAAAAGCTTTTACTATTTGGGCCCATGTATGAACTGTTTCAAGCAGTTCTCTTCTCTCCACACAAGAAGAAACTTTTTCCTTCGATTTTAAACCTCAATAAATCATATCAGATTCCACCGAACAAAATTTGAATCATTCAATCATGATACGACAAATAGTACGGTAGAATAGAAGGGGTGGGGGGAAGTTGCAAATTTCATTTAAACATCTCGAAACGCGTGCCGTTACAAATTACAATACAGGATGATCAAGATGCCAATGAGCCCCACAAAACAAGCAAATCATCCACTATTGACTATGTCCCACCACCATCACCATTTTTATATTCATTATTCTGACTTTTTTGTTTTCCTTTTTTCACCCTTAGTGAGTGATATAAAAGAAAAACATTCATTATATTCCGACAGTGGCATGGCAGGCAGAAATTGATGCCAATATATATACATATACATATCTCATTGTTAATTCGAATCTCAATTCATAAATTAATCTGAACTAGCCATGGCCATGGCCACATGCACCTACCAAAATGTAGTGAAACTTGCACTTGCGCTAGTGGTGGTGATTTTGATCTTGGAATCCGTTTCCGGTGTGGGCATTAACTACGGCACCCTGGGAAGTAATCTTCCTTCTCCAAAGAAAGTAGCTCAGCTTCTGCAATCCACTCTGATTAACAAGGTCAAAATCTACGACTCAAACCCTGACATCCTCGAAAACTTCTCCAACACCGGCATCGACCTCATCGTCGGCGTCGAAAACAACCGCGTGGCCAACATCAGCTCCGACTCTTCCGCAGCACAAGAATGGGTCTCAACACGCATAGTACCCTTCATTCCCGCCACTTCCATCGTAGCCATTGCTGTCGGAAACGAATACTTAACCACCAACGTTGACGACAACCACGACCATCTTGACCCAAATGCTTTGTTCCGAGCCATGCAAAACTTGCACACCGTTCTCTCATCCCATGGACTCGATCACAAAATCAAGGTCACAACACCACATAGCATGGCCGTTCTTGCTTCTTCTTTTCCTCCTTCTTCATCAACCTTCGCCTTGAATCTCATTCCAGTCATGACTGACATCGTTGGCTTCTTATCTGACACAAATGCCCCTTTCATGATCAATGCATACCCTTACTTCGCTTACAGGGACAACCCCAGTTCCGTTAACTTGGAATATGCATTGTTGGGGAACGCCACGGGAATCCACGACCCGAAGGGTTATGTGTATAACAACATGCTGGATGCACAGATTGATGGTGTGAGATCCGCTATTATAGCACTTGGATATGGAAATCGAAGCATTGAGATAACAGTGTCTGAATCAGGGTGGCCATCTAAGGGAAACCCTGATGATAGTGCTGCCACGCTTCAAAATGCAAAGATATACAACACGAGGTTGATCGAACGTGCACAGTACTCTAACAGAGGAACTCCAATGAAGCCTAAAGATCACATAGACATATTTGTCTTTGCTCTGTTCAATGAGAACAAGAAAGAAGGAGATGCGAGCGAGAGAAACTTTGGGATATTCAATGGTGATGGTTCGAAGGTTTATGAAGTGGATCTGAGCTGCGAGTTTTGTAGCAATAATGGTGGCACGTTTGGTTTTAGCGAGAAATCATCTGGTGGAGCTCGAGGTCCATCGGTTTGGTGTGTTGCAAAACCTCATGCAGATGACAAGGTGCTTCAAACTGTGTTGGATTTTTGCTGTGGGTCTGGTGGGGTGGATTGTAGAGAGATATATGAGGGTGGGGATTGTTATCAACCAAACAAGCTTCTTGCACATGCGTCTTATGCCATGAATTCTTATTATCAAATGCATGGTAGGAACTACTGGAACTGTGACTTCAAGGCAACTGGAATTGTAACTTTTAGTGATCCAAGTAAGTCAAGTTCTTTAACTCATCGTTTTAATTATCTCATGGATATGTTTGTTGGGATATTTAAGTGTGATGAGTCCCACGTTGGTTGGTAATGGACTAAGTGAAAATTATATAACTGGAAGGACCCATGAACTCAATGCCTTAAGGTTTTGGGTTGAGACATGATGTCGGATCCACGTGCTACGGTTGGTGTAGCCTTAACGCTCATTGGTGGTGGCCCGTGACGGGCTTCCCCTGCACTAGCCAAACAATGTTCTTGCAAATGTTGATTTATGCTTAATTGGCCTAAGTTAATTAACACTTGTTTCGCTTATGTTCAAATGAAAATAATAAATGATCAGGCTATGGAGCGTGCCGGTATCCTCAACAGTAATTCCATGAAGAAAAAAAACAGAGAACTCTGCTGGTCTTGTCATTGTGGCTCAGAGACAGCTCTTGGTATTGTTTATTTTATTAAAGTATTGTTGTTTAGAGTTGAAAAGTAGGACACTATGTTGCTGTGATGATTGAGAATTCCCTTGTTCACGAGCCAATTTTCTACGTTCACACTGTTTTTTCTGTAGAATTTTGAATATTTGATCATTCTGTCTGAAAAAAAGAAGAAGAAAAAAAGCCTAAATTATAGCACTTCATTTATATGGACTGATTATAAAGGCACGGGCACGTGAAGAAAGTTGTCTATACGGATAAAAGTAACGAAAAGTTTCTTTTTCCTACAATCACGGGCTTTTGTTGAAAAAGTTCGTTGTCTTTTGACTTTTTTCCCTGAGGCTACGAAGAAACCAAGTACTAGTATCTGAGAGTGGTTTTAAGTAGATTAGTCCCCGAATTCATTAATGCTAACGAGTTAGCTTTTAAAATTGAGCTTAATTTTGATATAACATAAAAATTTCTTTACATTTGTATTGAACAATGTCATATTATATTATGGGATAGGATATTGTGATACCCAAGTTATGTTACATCCATGTGACACCCAGTCAATCTCATCGTTAGATCGCTTATGTTGATCCAACGGTTATATTTATTTTTATCTTTGTATGGTCATGATTTCTCAAATTTAATATTTTATATTTATTTCTACCTTTGTATGGTTCTGATTTCCCATATTTAATGCTTTCACTTTAAATTTGGGAAATCATGACCATACAAAGATGGAAATAAATATAACCGTTGGATCAACATAAGCAATCTAACGGTGAGATTGACTGGGTGTCACATGGGTGTAACATAATTTGGGTGTCACAATATCCTATCCCTTATATTATTTAATAAATTCAACTACAATACTTATTATCAAATATGTAAATTAATTAAATAATATAAACACCGTATTATTTGATAAATATATTTGATCAATCCAAAAACTAATGAGCTAGATCGCACAAGATTAAGCCCGGTCCACTGGCTGGATGCCCAAATCTTTGCTAGGTTTGGTATGGAGCTTTTGCAAGATGACGGCTGGATGGCGGGATGCCCTACGAGATGGGAAATTTGGCTCTGATTCTTGGTATTAATTAGAGAGACAGGAGATGTACCTCTAAGACGCTCAAGTCAATAGAACTCTAAGGTATTCAAGTTTGAATGAATAGATGATCATAGATGAACTTTATGCCTTTATTTATATAGTGTTTAGCCGTCCTACTTATGTCGCCTTAGTGTGTCGACGTTCAATCTTATTTGGGGGTAGGAGAGGCCTTTGCAAGTGATTCTGTGCACGGGATGCCTATTGCTATGTTGAATCCTGTAGGTGTAGGTGTAAGCATATGTCTATCTTTTAGTCACGGGCCATTCAGGAGGTTGTAGAGTCCTAAGCAGCTAATGTCGTGTAGCCTCAATGAACTGAGTAGTTGATATTGTGTGTCAAAGCACATGCGAAATTGCTAAGATACATGATATAGCCGTGTTTCCTTACCTTGAAAGTCATTGGGTCACTTGAGTCTTTAATTGGTTGGACCTTTAATTCCACGTGGGATGGGTTCATATCAATATTAAAAATTTTACCAAACACATTAAGTTAGTCTGTAAAAAAATTAAAATCATATTATAAAAAAAAGGAAGAAGAAGCTGGGTTGCGAGCATAAATTTATTAAAATCAATATGGCAATCAATTTTTTAAAATCGGAACTAAAAAATACTTTGATGAAATGAAGGCTAAGGCCCTATATCACAATAAACATATATCATAAAATTAAGGGAAAATTTAAAAAATCTTCCTATGATTTTGTTTTGAATCATTTATTTTCCTACATTTTTTTAATCAAATGCCCTCAGTAGTTTTTTTTTTTTTTTTTTTATCTAAACTCATCCTTAACGCCGTTAGAAATTAAACTAATATGGCTGAGTACAAACAAATAAAAATAAAAGAAGAAATAAGATCAAATATATTATAAAGTTACAACACCAACTTGTAGAAAAGACTAAAAGTTAAAAAAAAAATTTGAATATGTCTAAATCAAAAAGAAGAAAATAAACTGAGGACAAAAAAAGAATAAAAAATAAGATCAAATATGTTGAAAGCTTGCAATTATACAGAAAAGACTAAAAGAGATAAAAAAAATGAATATAATATAAAAAATAGACTAAAGATAAAAAAAAATCAAATATATTAAAAATTTACAACACTGAGTTTTTTTCTTATATTTATTTCCATTACCATTAATGGGTGGCTCCGCGATTTCTTATGGGCGCAAGTATCCCAAGTAATTCAGTCTTATGGTTCTTCATTATTTGCATATGGTCTTTTTTTCTTGGGTGCTCATTTTGTATGGACTTTTAGTTTAATGTTTTTATTCAGCGGGCGTGGTTATTGGCAAGAACTTATTGAATCCGTCTTATTTTATCTTTCATTTTTTTAATAGTTATAGAAAAGACAAAAAAAAAAAGAAATAGAAGGAAAAAAGACCAAACATATCTAAATAAAAAAGAAGAATAGATTGAGTACAAAAAACAAATCAAATATGTTAGAAACTTACAACAACGATTTATTTTTTATTTTATTTTTTGTCTTACTTTTTCTTCTATTTCTTTTTTGTCTTTGGTCTTTCTTTTTCTTATTAGTTTAGATTATTTTTATTTTTAATTTTAATTTTAGTCTTTTAAGTCACTGCTGTAATTTTTCAATGTATTTGATCTTGTTTTTTCTTCTATTTTTTATCTATAATTTATTTTATTCTTTTTTATTTAAACTTATTTGATCTTTATTTCTTCTATAATTTTAGGCTTTGTTTGGGAGTTTGGAAGGGAATCCAATGGGGAGGGAAGGGAAGGAAGGGAAGGAAATTGAAGGGTATTCCCTTCCCTTGTTTGAGAGTTAAAAAATGGTAAAGGAGAAAAATTGAGGGCAAATGGGATATTTTTACCATTTTACCCTTTTCTAAAAATTAATATAATTAATTAAATTTAAAACTTCTAACAAAATTATTTATGTACTTTTCACAACACCAAAAAAGATCATATTTGTGATGAAATTTCTACGTTGCAAATGATGAAAATTTCATCACAATTTTTTTTTTTCAACTAAATATTTTTCGTCGAAAAGTTTCAATCGATGAAATTTTTTACAAAAATATATTTTCTATTGAAATTTTCGACGAAATTTAGTTTTCATCAAAAGTTTTGACGAATTTCCTCCATCAAATGTTTTAAACGAAAAAAGAATTTTGTCAAAAATTTTGACTGAACGTTTTTCGTTCAAAATTTAGATGGAAATATGTTCTGACGAAAATTTTGACAGAAATTGTTTTGTTACAAATTTTGAGGGAAATGTTTCATTCGAAACTTTAGACAAAATTTATATTTTGTAAAGAAATTTGAAAGAATATTTTTTTCGTCAAAATTTTTTATCGAAATATTTTTCGTCAAAAATTTTTACGAAATTATTTTCCGTCCAAATTTTTTGACAGAAAAGCGTTCCGTTGAAAATTTTGATGAAAATGTTTTTTTTTCAAAAAACTAAAAAGTGTTTCGTTAAAAATTTCGGACTGAAATTTTTTTTGCCAAAAAGTTTAACGAAAATATTTCCATCGAAAACTTTCGGCGAAATTTAAATTCTGTTAAGAATTTTGATGAAATTTTTTTTTGTCAACAATTTCCGATAGAAATGTGTTTCGTTAAAAATTTTAATGGAAATATTTTTCGTCAAAATTTCGATAAATATGTTTTTATATGAAATATTTTGGCAAAATTTAGATTCCATTACGAATTTTGACAAAATAAAAATTTCGTCAAAATTTTTTACAAAAAAATTTTGTCACAAATTTTGAAGGAAATATTTTCTGCAAAAAATTTTAACGTAATTATTTTACGTCGAAACTTTTCGATGGAAATTTGTTTCATCAAAATTTTGGATGAAAATATTTTTGTTAAAAGTTTCGACGAAATTTAGGTTCTATCAATAATTTTGACTGATTTTTTTTTCGTACAAAGTTTATGTTAGTGATTATGGCAAAATTTGGTTCCGATTTCTAATTTTTTCTTTAGTTTTGACGGAAATTTTTTGACGTATAAGATTTCCATCAAAAATTTCATCACTATTTTTGATGAAATATTTTTCTTCAATAAATTCTGTCGGTATTTGAGACTTTTCTAATAATATCGCATTTAAAAATGATTCACAATTATGTAGTTTTAACATTTTAATGTTAAGGGTAGATAAATAATTTTTAATATTTTTTCCCTCAAACCCTCCAAATTGGGAGAACTTTAATTTTAAGAAGAATGAGGGTTTAGTAAAAATCCCTAAACTCTTCCCCTTTTTTTTTTTAAACTCACAAACATGGGAATGACTTACTAAAATCCTCTGTTTCCTTTCCTTCCCCTCCTAAAACTAACTCCCAAACAAAGCCAGTAGTCTTTTTTGGAAGTGTGGTAAGTTTTCAATATTTTTGTTCTTATTTTTTCCTTTTTTGTCATTGGTCTATTCTTTTTTTTTCTTTTTTTGGTAAGCTTGGTCTATTCTTTTTTTTTCTTAGAAGAGTAAAATAGACGTATCAATTAAATTTCTAACGGAGTTATTGGTGGTTTGGATGAAAAAAAAATCATAAAGAATAAGTGATTAAAAAAATAGAAAAATATTTCTGCAATTAATGCAGATAAGTTATCTGCATTTACTTCAAAAATGACGTTATTTTGGGATTGAAAGATTAAAAAATTATAATTATAAAGACTATAATAACCCTGAAATAAATTAAAATTACAAAAACACCATAATTTTCACCCAAAATGACGTCGTATTGGGTTTATCTGTAGTAACTGAAGAAAAAGCGAACCCTAAAAAAAATAAGAATATAAATGATTTAAAGCAAAATCATAGAGGAAATTTTTGAACTTTTCCTTAAAAATAAAGGGAAAAATATATTTCTTTTTAAATTA